GTTTGGAGGAGGCCTCACAGGTAAGAGTACTAACTAGCTACCATCACAAGTACCTTAGCTTGACTTAAATGTATTAAACGTATAGTTCAGTGATGGCAAAATATAAATAACTAATGTCATGCAAACATATTAATATTTGCTTGATTCCAGAGTTGAATTTAGCACAATTGCATACAAACGTTAAGGGATTTTAAGATTCTGAAGTCTTCGTTCTAAATAGAAAATAGCATGGATAATTTACAAAGGCTTTAAAAACACAGCAGGAGCCCAAGACAATTATAAAACTTGTCATTATTTCAGTACAGTTCAATTGGTTTTATTTTCATAAACGGTTATCAACCGTTAGTGCCAAAGCAGTAGGCTATAATATATTAATTACTGCTGTAGACTACAACCACTACTTGTTTAGCTAGCATAAACTCAACAAAGCTAGCGTTAGCTGGCTGACTGACGTTATTTTGCCGCTAAACTGCACGATATAAAACGGTGGTCTTCAAAGCGGATTTAATCCTCAATCACAATAATAATATTCAAAGTAATACTGGGCAAGTAATGGGCAACATTTACCGTTGATTGATGCGCCATGTCAGCGGACTGGTAGCGACACGAAACGTTAGCCCCGCAGTCATCCGGTTCGACGTGACTAGGCTTGTTTGAGACAAGCGAGACCTGCGCAGTTGCGATCAACGTCTTGCTAGTGCGTTGCATGATGGTTAGTCATTTTGTCCGACTTGCTCTGGAGGCTCGCCTACATGAGACGTTGAAATCTCGCGGGACAAAGACGCCCGCAGCCTTGAGAGCGAGGCGAGGCGAGGCGGCGCAGTTCCTCTCCATGGGCTGCGGAAGCGAAATGCTTGATGGGAAACGACTCGCTGGTATCTCGAGCTGAGCGCTCATTGGTGGTTTTTACCCCGTGCTGGTGATGAAACTCTCCAATTGGCTCGGCAAAAGTTTGTTGTTGTTTTGTGTCAGTTTTACGTCGCCACATGCATTCCCATTTTTCATCATTGTTCCACAATGTTTATCATCATGAAATTAATATCCATATATTTTATACTATACTTGCACTGCTTACCGTTTTCATACTTTATATGTCTTAGCATATTCATACACACTGTTCATACTGCTCACAGGCTGATATCTAGTGTATTCATACCCCTCACTGTTTATTCATCATTCAATTCATTCTATATTTTATTCTGTCTATTGTGTACATTACTTTTCACTTTACTGCTTGTTGCACCTGGTTAATCATCTTTATTTAAAGAGACTCTTGGTCCATTATTACAAAAACATACAACACTCAAATATAAATTAAAAAAGGCAGTTATACCAATGTTTCCACAGAGGTGACTGATTTGACAGCAGCATAATGAGTTAGTTAGAACTAGCTAAACTGCATTTCGTTGTCTCAGTACCTGTAATCTGTGCAATAACAATAAAGTTGAATCTAATCTTGAGCAGGAACAAATGCATTTACTTAGTACATATCTGACATTAACGATTAAACACATGTGTGCATTGTTTATAAATGCAAACCGAGTCAAGCCGACTCCGGAGGTGGCGGTATGCACCTTAAAGTTGTTTGCAATCCGCCAAAAATCCGAGAGAAGAAGAAGAAGAAGACGAAGCCGACTCCGAGCTGTCCGACTTCAGGCGAGCTTTTTGAGACCTCCCACGGCTGCGATCGGCTATTCTCGTCTACTTTCGAGGCGAGCCGCAACGCGTCTCAAACAAGCCTACTGACTGTACTAGGCTTGTTTGAGACGCGTTGCGGCTCGCCTCGAAAGTAGACGAGAATAGCCGATCGCAGCCGGGGGAGGTCTCAAAAAGCTCGCCTGAAGTCGGACAGCTCGGAGTCGGCTTCGTCTTCTTCTTCTTCTTCGCCTTCTTCTTCTTCTTCTCTCGGTTATTTGGCGGATTGCAAATAACTTTAAGGTGCATACCGCCACCTCCGGAGACGGCTTGACTCGGTTTGCATTTATAAAGAATGCACACATGTGTTTAATCGTTAATGTCAGATATGTACTAAGTAAATACATTTGTTCCTGCTCAAGATTAGATTCAACTTTATTGTTATTGCACATATTACAGGTACTGAGACAACGAAATGCAGTTTAGCTTCCAACCAGGAGTGCAACAAGCAGTAAAGAGAAAAGTAATGTACACAATAGACAGAATAAAATATAGAATGAATTGAATGATGAATAAACAGTGAGGGGTATGAATACACTAGATATACACAGCACAGCAGCCTGAGAGCAGTATGAACAGTGTGTATGAATATGCTAAGATATATAAAGTATGAAATGGTAAGCAGTGCAAGTATAGTATAAAATATATAGATATTAATTTCATGATGATAAACATTGTGGAACAATGATGAAAAATGGGAATGGATGTGGCGACGTAAAACTGACACAAAACAACAACAAACTTTTGCCGAGCCAATTGGAGAGTTTCATCACCAGCACGTGGTAAAAACCACCAATGAGCGCTCAGCTCGAGATACCAGCGAGTCGTTTCCCATCAAGCATTTCGCTTCCGCAGCCCGTGGAGAGCAACTGCGCCGCCTCGCCGCGCCTCGCTCTCAAGGCTGCGGGCGTCTTTGTCCCGCGAGATTTCAACGTCTCATGTAGGCGAGCCTCAAGAGCAAGTCGGACAAAATGACTAACCATCATGCAACGCACTAGCAAGACGTTGATCGCAACTGCGCAGGTCTGCGCAGGTCTCGCTTGTCTCAAACAAGCCTACTGTGTGACTGACCCGAGCCTCGTTGTTCTGATAGCTCCGCCCCTTCGCTCCAACCCCCCTCCCTCCCCCCACATCTACAGGTGAAAATTACTTTTGCAACACATTTATCGCAAGAAGTGTAGCAAAAGTCAATACCGCAGATTCGTCGATTTATACTGCCACAGAGGATATTCGTCAAGTTGTAATGACTGATTTGAGAGGTTGTAATAAATAAAGTTGCAGTTGTAATGGAAAATATATTTAAAACATATGTATTTTTCTGCAAGTGAACATTTCATCACTAAGTTCATTTTTTTTCTTCAAGCTACAAAACTTTTTTTTTCTTCTGTGACTTCAAATTTGGTTCACAGTTACGTGGATATTTTATACAAGTGTACATTTGGTTCAGTTACGTGGATATTTTATACAAGTGTAAATGTATGCACACAAACTCAGATTTTTTTTCTGCAAGTGCTCACATCAGGTTTTACACACTCTCGCATTTTGCACCATATCTACCTTCATAGAAAATGTCGGAGAAGAAAAAGTTTGAGAGTCGCGCTCGGAAAAGGAAATTGTTGAGGGAAAAGGAGTTTCGAGACAAGCAGCTATTACAAAAAATGCCGAAGCTTACAGGTTATTTTAAACCTGTAGGCCAGGATGAGGAGGAAGGACAGATTAGGTCTGTACCAAGCGGCAGCGGTGCCGGCCGCGGGGCCTTGGAGCCAAGTAGGCCGTTTGGTTCTGATAGTGATGGAGTAGCGGGAGAGGAAAAACAGACAGGAGGGATGTTGGAGGAGATGGGAGGACGACGAGGACTTGCTACGTGGAGGGGAGCCAACGGCAACCGGACAAATACATGAGGGAGGCCCGATACGTCACTCATCTGGAGGAGAGGACCAGGCGCGCGTAGAGCAGAGTGGAGAAGTGCGATCACAGAGCCTGCCGAGGCTATAAATGACTTTGATTTGTTGTTTAAATAGGGGGCCTACAAAAACTTAACGCCTTAACCTGCCATCAGCCCCAGGGCCTGATGGCAGGTTAAGGCGGGCTTGTCGGTACCCTCTGGTTTTGAGCCTGGTCTTAGGCACTATCAGCAGCAGCTGATCTGCCGATCTTAAGGCTCTGCCTGGGGTGTAGCGATGGAGGAGTTCGGCTACATAGGCCGGAGCCAGCCCATTTAGGGCTTTGAAAACAAATAAAAGGATTTTAAAATCTATTCTGAACCGAACTGGAAGCCAGTGCAATGAGGCCAGAATTGGGGTGATGTGGTCACGCTTTTTATGGCCAGTTAGAAGACGTGCAGCTGCGTTCTGCACTAGCTGCAGGCGTCTAATTGAGGCCTGGTCCATACCCACATACAGAGCATTGCAGTAATCCAGTCTCGAGGTAACAAAGGCGTTAATAACCCTTTCTAGGTCTTTAAAAGATAAAAACGACTTGGTCTTAGCCAATAGTCGTATTTTAAAAAAGCAGGTCTTGACTACGGTGCTGACCTGCTTATCAAATGTAAAAGCGCTATTGAAGGTCACTCCAAGGTTTATGACAGAGTGGAGGATGTTTTTACTGAGGGAGCCCAGAATATCAACCGGAGAGGCTGGAGGTCGGTGTCCAAAAAAGATGACCTCGGTCTTGCTCTCGTTGAGGGTGAGGAAGTTTTGGCTCAGCCAGGATTTCATCTCTGTTAAGCAGTCCATCAACTGCTGTAGTGAGTTGGCATTTTAATTGAGAGGCAGATAGATCTGTACATCGTCAGCGTAACAATGGAAGGGGATGTTGTGTTTTGTGAGAATTGAGCCTAGGGGCAGTATGTACAATAGAAAAAGGATGGGGCCCAGAATCGAGCCTTGGGGAACCCCACAGGTAAGAGGGGCTTTAGCAGAGGAGAAGGCACCCAACTGCACTGAGAAGCTACGGTCTCTCAGGTAGGACCTGAACCATGCAAGGGCAGAGCCTGTGATGCCTGCGGACTGTTCAAGTCGTGACAACAGGATGCTATGATCCACAGTGTCGAAGGCAGCTGTCAGGTCCAACAGCACCAAGACAGCTGAGCTACCTGAGTCGGCGGCTAGGAGCAGATCATTAAAAACTCTTCAAAGGGCTGTTTCAGTACTGTGCATGGGTTTGAAGCCAGACTGAAACTTTTCATGGATGCCATGTGTGGTTAAAAACGTATGTATAAGGTTGTTTGAGTTAAGTCCTGTATATACTGATATATATGGATTAGTTAAAAAAATTACATAACACACATTGTGTTCATGTTACAGGTACATGAACGGTGCAGCCACCAACCCTGACTGTCATGTTCTGGCCTATGCTGGAGCTCAGGTGAAGAAGGGGCTGGATACTGCTCAGAAGCTGGGTACACAAAACTTTGGTACGAGTGACTTGATTGTGTCACTGTCAAATGTCTACATTCTCCTCTTTGTATGTAACAGTGTTGCTACATTATATTTGTCTCCTCAGTGTTTTGGGGAGGAAGGGAAGGCTTCCTTACCATCCACAATACTGATGTTGCTGCTGAACTGAAGCACATGGCTAACTTCTTCAAAATGGCTGTCAGTAAGTGTGCACGGCACGTGATTATGGGATTCCAACTTAGAATGAATCACCCATGACTTGGAATTTCCAAATCAGGTGAAGAAATATTCCACTTTCAGTTTTAATGCTTGTGTTTCTCAACAGAGTACAGAGAGAAGATTGGCTTGAAGTGTCAGTTCCTTATTGAACCCAAGCCTAAGGAGCCCTGCAAACACCAGTATGACTATGGTAAGATTTAACAAAACAAGTATGCTTTGAAAGTATACTGTCTTAAAGGAATACTTCATCCACAAAACGATCATTTGTATTGCAAATACTCATTACTTGGTACTTGGATTCCAGAAAAATCCTCTGATCTTTTTTAATATACTATACTAAGTAATTTTTTCAACATACTGCACTTTGACTTTTTTTCCACTTATAAAACTAAGACCTTTTTTATATACTATACACAAAAATGTTTTCTAAATAATATACCATGACTTTTTTTCCCCACATACTACATGCTATACTATTTTTTTCCACATACCATACGATCTACTTTTTTCCCACATATTATAATATGGCTATGTTTCCCACATACCATACCATATGCCCCGAACATTCATTTTTTAAACAACATTAATAAAGACTTTTATCAGTTCTTGGATTCTTCGTTCACTGTGGAGGCTTGCTAGATAAGCAAGTTATTTTCACAAATTCAAGTTAAGATGGAGTTAAGTGGTAAGTGGGTGAAGTATTCCTTTAATGATGCCTTTTATATGTCACTTTTTTCTGTAGATGCTGTGAGTGTCATCGGATTCCTGAAGCATTATGGTCTGGAGAATGACTTTATGTTGAACATCGAGCCAAACCACACCACCCTGGCAGGACACTCTTATGAACATGATGTAGTCATGGCCTCCGCGTATGTCTTTTAACTTAATATTCAGGGGAACACTTCCCCAGCATGTTGAAGACTGAAACAGTTTTGTGTTATCGCTGCCTGCTGCTGGACAGGTTTGGCATGCTGGGGTCAGTCGACTCCAACACGGGCTCTCCTGACCTGGGCTGGGACACAGACCAGTTCCCCATGGACATCAGGAACACCACCTTGCTCATGAAGGTGAACTTATTTATTTAATTTGTAAAAGGAGTTTATGCTAATTAGGTTTGTTAATGTAACACTGTCTGAGCACCTCTTGAATGGGATTCACAAAAGCTTTAGCTAAAATAGCTATTATACTTAATAGACTAAATATTTGTTTTAAGCAGTGTTGCGGCTATAGGTAGTCCTAATAAAAAGGAAGTGAGCGGCTTAATACGGGAGATAAACACTTGGACACGCTCAAACAAAACAGCTTCGCTCCTTCCGTTTCATTTGAAAGAATAAGGAAAAATACAATACATCCCATTTCCAATAACCTTGAGCGGATGACCAATGCAAGTGATGATTAAAGATATTGCGGTGGAACATTTCTGCCAACAGAAAATGTTGCCTCCCGACTCACCCCCTTTCTTTCTATACAAAACCACACTGAGCAGGTGAGTGCAGCCAGGTTTAACAACCACTTAATCCGCCTCTAAATCCAGTGCACGCCCACCACCAATAATACTTAAAAAACAACACATAATAAATCAAAACACAGACACCTTAAATTTGGCATCTACAAGCAGTATTGATTGATTTATTGCCCATTTGGTGCAGCGGAATAAGCTTTCAATTCAACATTATTATCACTTTCCCACTCCAGCGTCCTCAGACAAAGCTACATTAGCATTCTATTGAGTCGTGTAACTGTCCACATGAAAGTGTTAAGAATTCACTCTGCACACTCTGTAGTATAGATCAGACAGTGATTTATCGAGAGTAATTCCTCAGTGTCTTATCTTCTCCAGACCATCATTGAACAAGGTGGTCTGCAGCCTGGGGGCCTGAACTTTGATGCTAAGGTGCACAGGGAGTCCACAGACCTGGAGGACCTGTTCATCGCTCACATCAGAGCCATGGACACCTTCGCAAGAGGACTCCGAAATGCTGTTCGTATTATCGAGGATGGGATCATCCCTGGCATGGTGAAGGTATATCATCTTTATTTAAAGAGACTCTTGGTCCATTATTACAAAAACATACAACACTCAAATATAAATAAAAAAAGGCAGTTATACCAATGTTTCCACAGAGGTGACTGGTATCGTACAGCACTGAAACACGGATTTGACAGCAGCATAATGACAGAGTTATGAGAAACATTCAATCGACAGATGAATTTGTACATTCGATTTCTCAAAAGAGCATGGAACGTGTTGACTCGTGCGTTACAGAACATTTCACTTGCACTGCACCACCTTGGTTTTCTAAGCAGTATACGCAAACAGTCATTATATGCAACCTGGAGCTTCCGGAGGCTCGCCTTCTTATACTTGACCCACAAGGGGGCAGTATAGAGAGGAGTGCAATAAGCTCTAAAGAGGTTCACCTTAACCTTATCTGAACACCAAGAGAATTTTCTAGCCAACATGTTGGCTTGCATATATAAGACACGCCGCTGTCTATACATGTCATCATCATCAGCCATTTCATCTGTGATGATGTGTCCCAGATACTTAGTGTTACAGCAAACAGACAGCACCTGTCCTGACAGGTAGAATGTTGGAAAACAAAGGTTCTTATCCCCTTTTGCTCTGCAGATCATTACAGCGCTCTTCTTAGCATTGTATTTAACGTCAAATTTGACTCCGTAATCAGAACAAACATTTAGCAACTGTTGAAAACCAGCACTGCTAGGAGAAACAATAGCCAGATCATCGGCATACATAAGATGGTTTACAATCACATTACCAATCACACACCCTGTTTTACAGACACTTAAATCATCTGATAGATCATTCATATAGATATTAAAAAGGCATGGTGAGAGGAGCCCCCCCTGGAGGACTCCATTACCAACACCAAATGGCGCAGAGACTGCATTCCCCCATTTGATCCGCATGCTCTGGTTGGCATACCAATAAGCCAGGATCCTAATTATACTGTTAGGCACACCCCTTTGTCTCAATTTTAAAAACAGTTTATGGTGGTTAACTCGGTCAAAAGCCTTAGAGGCATCAATGAAACCAATCAGAACAGTGGAATTCTGTCTTCTATATGTTTCTACCATTTCTTTCAAAGCATAGATGCATAGCTCAGTACCATGCTTAGCCTTGAAGCCAAACTGGTTATCTGAGGTACATAAATAGGAACATAGTCTATCTAACAAAATTCTTTCCAGGACTTTGGATAACACACTGGCTAGAGCAATTGGTCTATAGTATGTATGTGTATATATAGGTATGTGTACAATCAAGTAAAGATCACTGTTAAATAGACTTGCCTTTCAGGTATTAAAGGAAACACCTACACTATGTTTGGTCTGAGTGGTAACATCATGTGTGATTCCAACATAATCGATACTCAAGCTTCAGCCATGGCATTGGGCAGAAAGTGGAGGAGGGTTCTGCCTCATTAGAGGAAATGGAGGTACGAATTTTGACACTTGTTTTCTAGTACTTTTGCACAACCATTGCAATTGTATTACACTTTAATAAAACAGTGATGGGTAGTTATGAAAATATATAAAATGTCACTAGTTTACTTTATTGGTGTTCTATAATTTTGTAAATGCAACAAACTATAATTATGCTTCTTTAGGTATAATATGACTATATTTGAAACATTTATGTTTCGTGTCTCCAGACAACATTTTATTGGGTTGAAGAGTATAACTTTTTTGATAGCAAAGGTAGCTGACCCCTATATTAAAGCATAAAATGTATTTTCTTTATTTAAAGCTTCTCTTTATATATCTGCCTTTGTAATAATGATTGTTACATTAAAATACTAACTGAATGATATTTAGAAGGATGAGAAATAATTGATACTAATATATGTTAATTGTATTTGTCTAAAAGAGTGGCTCAAAGTCAGCCTTCTGTGTTTTATTTTAAAATATCAACCTTCTTCAAACTATAACCAGCAGTATTTGTGAACACTGCTTTCAGCCAATCCCTGGATTGTTTGCTCCAGAGCTTTTCAGTGTGATTTTTGCCACCGTAATAAACCAGTGTAAAAATTGACTAAAAAAGAGAAGATGGTCTCACATTTAGTATAATGTGATGTAATTTGTTTTCTCAGGACTTCATCAAGCAGAACGGTGAACCGAAAGTAACTTCGGGGAAGCAGGAAAAATATGAATCCATCTTCAATCACTACATATAATAAAAGCACCACTCTTCTATGTCTTCTGTGGCCTTAAACACAGTGATTTAAAGGTAAAGACCTTTTTAATTTGTAGATTTTTCACAAAAGAATAACAAAAATAGATTCTGAACACTGCAAGTAGAGAGGTCAAATAAAGGATCCTTGACAGACTAACAGACTTCGATATAATATTTTAGGATCTGTGTATCAGTATGTAATTGTAGTGCTTTTGACATATTATCTGGTACCTTATTCACTGAAAGGCTAGTTTCATTAAGCTGATGACTACTGATGTTTACTATGAAATAAAACACATTTTCACAATGCAGTTGATGAGTGAACATGATTATCTTACACTACCCTGCTCACATATGTCAAACAACGTGAAATGACCCTCGCCTGAGTATAAACTGGTGGCTGACTAAATACTGGGTGGCTGACTAAATACTTTTTCAAAAAAGTATTTAGTCAGCCACCAATTGTGCAAGTTCTCCCACTTAAAAAGATGAGAGAGGCCTGTAATTTTCATCCTAGGTATACCTCAACTATGAGAGACAAAATGAGAAGAAAACAAATCTAGAAAATCACATTGTCTGATTTTTAAAGAATTGATTTGCCAATTATGGTGGAAAATAAGTATTTGGTCAATAACAAAAGTTCATCTCAATACTTTGTTATATACCCTTTGTTGGCAATGACAGAGGTCAAACGTTTTCTGTAAGTCTTCACAAGGTTTTCACACACTGTTGCTGGTATGTTGGCCCATTCCTCCATGCAGATCTCCTCTAGAGCAGTGATGTTTTGGGGCTGTCGCTGGGCAACAGACTTTCAACTCCCTCCAAAGATTTTCTATGGGGTTGAGATCTGGAGACTGGCTAGGCCACTCCAGGACCTTGAAATGCTTCTTATGAAGCCACTCCTTCGTTGCCCGGGCGGTGTGTTTTGGGATCATTGTCATGCTGAAAGACCCAGCCACGTTTCATCTTCAATGCCCTTGCTGATGGAAGGAGGTTGTCACTCAAAATCTCACGATACATGGCCTCATTCATTCTTTCCTTTACACGGATCAGTCGTCCTGGTCCCTTTGCAGAAAAACAGCCCCAAAGCATGATGTTTCCACCCCCATGTTTCACAGTAGGTATGGTGTTCTTTGGATGCAACTCAGCATTCTTTCTCCTCCAAACACGTCTAGTTGAGTTTTTACCAAAAAGTCCTATTTTGGTTTCATCTGACCATATGACATTCTCCCAATCCTCTTCTGGATCATCTAAATGCTCTCTAGCAAACTTCAGACGGGCCTGGACATGTACTGGCTTAAGCAGGGGGACACGTCTGGCACTGCAGGATTTGAGTCCCTGGCGGCGTAGTGTGTTACTGATGGTAGCCTTTGTTACTTTGGTCCCAGCTCTCTGCAGGTCATTGACTAGGTCCCCCCGTGTGGTTCTGGGATTTTTGCTCACCGTTCTTGTGATAATTTTGACCCCACGGGGTGAGATCTTGCGTGGAGCCCCAGATCGAGGGAGATTATCAGTGGTCTTGTATGTCTTCCATTTTCTAATAATTGCTCCCACAGTTGATTTCTTCACACCAAGCTGCTTACCTATTGCAGATTCAGTCTTCCCAACCTGGTGCAGGTCTACAATTTAGTTTCTGGTGTCCTTTGACAGCTCTTTGGTCTTGGCCATAGTGGAGTTTGGAGTGTGACTGTTTGAGGTTGTGGACAGGTGTCTTTTATACTGATAACGAGTTCAAACAGGTGTCATTAATACAGTTAACAAGTGGAGGACAGAGGAGGCTCTTAAAGAAGAAGGTACAGGTCTGTGAGAGCCAGAAATCTTGTTTGTTTGTAGGTGACCAAATACTTATTTTACCGAGGAATTGACCAATTAATTCATTAAAAATCCTACAATGTGATTTCCTGGATTCTTTCCCCCCATTCTGTCTCTCATAGTTGAAGTGTACCTAGGATGAAAATTACAGGCCTCTCTCATCTTTTTAAGTGGGAGAACTTGCACAATTGGTGGCTGACTAAATACTTTTTTGCCCCACTGTATATATGTCTAAAAAACAAAATATTTTAAGTATGACGACAAATAAGACTCAAACAGTATATCACAATCAAACATTACAGCAGTGGTTGTTGCAGACACAGCTAGTGTAGATCTTCACTAATGACCGCACTTTAGTTGCATTGAGGGCCCCACCTCTTTTAATGGGGCCTCATATGGGCATTAATAGCTTGCATACAGTATAAGAAATTCGAAAAAAGTATACATTTTATAATTTATTGTTTTATTTGAAAAATATACCAATTTAAAACGGATTATCAAATCTAAACACATCTTCGCAACAGTGCTAGTGGGAATGCTTTATGCTGAAAAGCTGACGCTAAACTGCTATGCTGAAATGTAATGTGTAAGAAGAAAGTGAAGAATTTAGATTGAACTGATACATGAACACTGGGGGCTTGAATGTGTGATGAGAGAAGAAAAGAAAGTAAAAAGGCTTGGAAAAGCAACAGAATATTTGAACTGCAATATTTTGAACTAACTTGATGGCGAATGATCTGCCGCCATGCCAACGGCATTTGATGACATCCCATAATACGCTTAGATGCGTTGATGGCTGCATCGTTACCAAACCTGTGAAGTTTTGGGCCGTTTGGAGCATTTTCACTGAAGTTATGAGAAAACCGTGTTTCATGGCGAGCATTGTGTTGCCATGGCAACAGCATTTGAAGAAATCTCAAAACTGTCTCGTAGATGACTTCACGGCTGGACTGTTCGCACACATGTGAAGTTTGAGCACTTTTTGAAAATGTTCAGAAGAGTTCATGTATAGCGACATCGTGTTTAATGGCATATGATGACACCCCATAATTGACGTAGAGCTGTGTTAACCATTATCTGAAGTCTGCTGCTCTGAGCATGTCAGTTGGAGTTATGACATCGTGTTCCATGACACAGGTGTTTATATTTGAGCTAACGATGTGTCCAGAGATCAAAGGTTTCCATGGTGATCAGTGAGAGGAGAGCATTTTCATTGTTCTGAATGAGATAAACCTCTTACATGTGAACGTTTTGTGGAAGAACCGTAACAGATATCGGTAAAATTTCAAAGCGCGAAGCATGTCAAGGAACTTGAGCATCTGAAGTGTACTTTTTGTGTACTTTCGGGTTCATAATGTGGCCTTTTTGGCAGATTAACTAAAGGTGTGCGGCTGCTGTGGTGGGGAAAGGTGAGGCTGGACTTACAATGGGGTTTAATCGGGTTTAATACGCAATGTTTTCCTACGTTTCTCATGAAAAATGATGTCTCAGGGATGTAGGGTTTGGGAATTATGGCAGGTTTAAAAGAAAATATAAAGGCAAAATTAAATCTGTCCTCCACTCTAGCTGTGACATCACGCACTCTAAAATCTGAAGAAGGCCTCTTTACCAAGGTCTGAACAATGTTTAATTTCTCTAAAAGTAAGAATCAGATTTAAAAGTTGTGTTAAATGAATAATGTCAGAAAGATGTGTAACATTTTAAAGTTGGAATGAGGTTTCTGAGTGAAAGTATGAAGGAGCAGTTAGCAGTTGAAGAATGAGCAGTTAGCAGTTGAAGTTGCATGAAGATTGTTGAAGTCTGAAGAGTTTCTCCATTGACTTCCATGTTAAAAATGTGATGTATTATGGGATGTATCTCTGGAATTATGAAAGTTATGAATGATCAAAGTAATAGCCATCAATTCCCGACCGAGCTGAACGTTTTGATGTTTGAACAGAGTTTCTGCGATGTTCAATGTGGGAGAAGAAGAGGCGCAAAATAACCCGGCGGAATAATAAAGAATTTTGTGCGTATCATAACAGATAGTGGGAATGCTGTGTCAGCATTCCCACTAAAAAATGTATGTAAGTTAGCCATATCCAATTTTTTCTGAAATACACATGTGCTAAAATTAGCAGCAGTGTAAAAAGTAAGATAAGCAAATAAATAAAACAAGGCTATATGTGAATAGGCTACTCCGCAAGTAGGCCTGTTTTTTCTAGAGATTATGCCTATCGATTCTGTCTCACTCACTCGCTCTTTCATTCAATAAGCATGGGTGTATCGCTCCCACAGCTAACCAATCAGACTCGCCTCATCCCCCACAAGCCAATCACAGCGCATCCGGCAACATTTTGAATCTGTTTAAGTCCACCTACATTTTGTATAGTGATGCTGAATTTTTTTAATTACATCCTCCTCAAGAGGGCATAGGAAAACTCCCACAAAATGGAAGAAAACCTTGGGAAGGACCACAAGTGAGGAACCCCCTTCCTGGGCGGACAGGTGCAGTTAGGTGGTTGAGTCCTCTCAGTCTCATATTGTTAGCTTGTGGTTTGTCGCGGTTAAATGTCTAGCAGTGGTGGAATTTAACTGATTACATTTAATTAAATACTGTTCTTGTACTTGATTGATTATTTTCATTTTATGCTACTTTATATTTCTACTACATTTTACAGGCAAATATTATACTTTACTACACTATATAAGACAACATTAACACTACATTACACTAAGATATTAAAACTTCTACTTAGGTATATAAATACTTATTTCACCACTGCTTTCTTAGTATTACTAAACGGGTGATGCATGATGTGGACAGTAGGAATCTAACAGGTCGTAAACTACATTATAAAGGTCACAGTCATGGTCTGGAAGGTTGCAGTCAGGGGCCATGGAGGCAATAACTCCAACAGGAAGGAGGACACAAAAGGTAATGTATCCTGCTACCTTCACTCCTTTCCACAGGAAGATCAAACATTGCAACCATCTAAACACAAACACATAATACAAAAATTAGTACAGGGTAGGATTTTTTTGTTTTTGATAAGTTGGTTTCTTTTATGTTTACATGTTTTATTGTGGAACAGTAGCTTACTTGTCATTCTTTGGGTGCCTCTCATCTTTCACATCCTACAATCACAACAGAAAGCGTCAGTATATATATGATATGTTCTATTACAAATCAAACTTAAAGGAGTATTGTGACATTTTGGGAATTTTGCTCGTACACTTATTAGATTTAGATAAAAGATTATTTCTATGTCTGTCAGGTAGATTTAAAGCCTTCCAAGGAAACGAAAATCTTCTCTCCGTTTATAGGTAATAAAATCTGCCTAACATCTACATTTATGAACAAGTTTTCTCTCAACTTTCATCTCAAATGTTTAATCCGAACGAATTTTCTTGGCAGTAGAAAACTCCAAACACAAGTCTATTGTTTTTCTGGTCAACCTGTCTGGTGGCACCAAGACTTTGGCTGTAGTCTTTATGCTAAGCTAAGCAGCGTCCAGCTCCATATACATATTTATTTCATATAACTGTAAGAAAGTGACGCTTAGGTTGACACAGACAACTCAATATCTCAATATGTTAGCTAACACTGGAAAGCAAGTTAAGTTTGCCAAAGGTTCACAGCTCCCGCTAATGTTAGCAAAAGGCTAAACCATTGGCATCATTTCTCTACATATTTTGAATAGTTTAGTCAGCAACACATTAAGCGTATTAGAAACATTTAATCTCCACTTCTGGAATAGTGTAGCAGTTTAGCTGAGCGGTAGGCTAACCGCAGTGCAGCAGCCACGACTTTTCTGTTAGCAAGAAGCTAAGCTAAACTATTAGCATCATTTACTTTCCATCTCTGAAACGATTCACCAGCAGTGTAGCTTACTAGAGCCTCACATTTTTAAGTAAACATTTAAAGTTGAGGCCTTACTCTGACACTAGCGACTACCCTGAGGTGATTTGGAAATGTGTTTCTCCTTTGAAAGAGTTGTTTTTAAGAAAGCAAATATGCGTATTAACCAAAATGTGGAACTTATGGAAGTATAGCTGGTAAAATGAAGCTGTTACATGTTTGATGTCACTCCTAGCATGATTATATGTGTTTTATAGCAATGATTGGATATTATATTTACCATAGCTGATGACCCATGTTTCAGTCTTACTGTTGATGTTGATGAGGCCTTCTGTGCAGATCTATCAAACCAAAAACAGGCACATGTGAGAAAACAAAATACTTCACACTAACATCTTCTCATTGTCGTTAGATGGTCAAGATGAATATAAACCCATGAAATAAAATACATTCAGACTGGGATATTAATAATTACAATATCGGCTTCAACTTGTTCAGTTTCTCTCGAAGTTCTCGCTGTTCCTGAAAGAACAGATCCTGCAGAAACAGATGAAATGTAAGAAAGTCGGCGTATAATACAGTAGCCATTTAAAACAGTTTACCAAAGGGCTTATTAGGGTCAAAATACCAAATGTTACTCTTATTTACTTCTTCATTTGTTTTTTACAAATGAAGAAGTAAATAGAACAATAAAAAACAAGCTTCTCACATTGAAATCCAATGAGAAGGGGTGGGTCTTTAGCAGCAAATAATACTTTAAAAAATAACTGGTAGCATTGATAAAATAAATACATTTGTTTCATATCAGTGATTGGATATTATATTTACCAAAGCTGAAGACCAATGTCTTTTTGTTGATGGTGCCTTCTCTGCAGTTCTATCAAACCAAAGACAGGAAGGTGTGAGAAAACAGAACAGTTAGCTTGGCTTCAAGATGGTCAACATTAATATCAACCCATAAAATGAACTACACTCAGACTAAGTTATTAGTAATTACAAAATCTGCTTCTGCTGTCTCTTTTTCAGTTTTTCTTGAAGTTCTTGCTGTTCCCGCCTGAGATCCTGCAGAACAAGATGAAATGTTGATAGGTTTCAGTCATATTCATTCATATAGCCCATTTAACACACACACATCATACAGTATTTGGTACCTACCTCTATGGTGCTTAATCTCTCCCCGATCTGGTTATTATTTTGAATCAAGGTCCAGGATATCTGTCAGACAACTCGGATGTTAAAGTACGTAAGAGACACTTCACAAGAGGATATTTTGAAGATTTAAAAAAAGTTTTCATACCGTGACCACCTCTGCATCTTTTCTCTGTAGTTCTTCCTGAACCTGCTCAAGTTTGGGCTAAACACATCAAACCAGATTCAATATGATATTATAACATAACTTAATGGATATATATATATATTATTGAAAGAGGAAGCTGTGGTAGAATATTGTATTGTTGCATTTCATTAAGTACAAAAAAGGTTTACCTTTGATTCCTTCTCAGCTTCACTCAGATTTTGTATTTGCTCCTTATCATTATTTCCCTGTAAAAGTTGTTCCAGCTGAAATACAAGCAGCTCAGAGTGAGAATGGTATTCAAAGAGGATGGCAGAAAATAATGCGACATCTATTCTAACATGAAATGCTTCTAATGGCTTTCAAAGATCAATGTTTAGCTGTAAAATGGTGAAAAAGACACACATAGATTAGTAGATAGTATATGTCAGTGTCATACCTCAGCAGTCTTCTCCTCCTTTTGCTTCCTCAGCAACCGAGTCTCATCCTCCTGCACAAATAAAAAGGAATAATTGAAGCAAACTGGTAAGATTAGGTTTTGAGACAGCCACACTGCCATCATTTTAAAGTCTTGTTTGCTTTTAACCTCGAGTTGTGTGTTAAAATACATATATCGGAAACTCGTTGCTGTTTAATATGGCCCCGCTGGCCAAAATGAAATTGTAACCACTCACTGCCATTTGTTTACCTCCAGCCATGGATTTCACAATACCAGACATCATGATTGTTTAACTTCACTTAATACCAAAATTCCGTACAAAATGTAAACTCATCATAATTCATCTCTGTTATTTATCAAAGCAGGCCTGTTTACATTTGTTAACAGCTAACCTCACTGTCCTCCTGCAGATTTCAACACAGATTTGCAGAGGTGGGAGAAGTACTCAGATCTTGTACTTAAGTAAAAGTAGAAGTATAAGCGTGCAGGAATACTGTGTTACAAGTAAAAGTCCTTCATTCAAAATGTTACCCAAGTACAAAAGTATTAGTATCAAAATATACTTAAAGTAGAAGTAGTAGTTACTTCCCACATCTGAAAATTGGTAGTTTTAAATGTAGCATTATTAGGAAATAGTCCCATAGTAACTGCTGTTCAGTTGAAAAACCTGTACTGTCTTGTTTTCTGAATGTTGGCACTGACTTGGTCCTTAACCTGTTCTTTTGACACTCCACTATCATTTCCATTACTGCATTAAAGACAGGAAGGCAATCATAATGTATGAACAGGAAAATAACTGTTAGCATGTACTTACCACCTCCTTCATATAGCTTCTCCGCGTCCTGCTTTCCTCCTCCGACATGAGCTCCTGGTGTCTCTCCTGAGTTTCAACATCCTCCCTCTCTCTCAGTTTTCTTCTGCTTTCCGCCTTCTGTTTTCGGTACCTGAACACACAATCAACCACATGTAGTTATGGGTATGAGACTCACTTTTTTTATTTTATGATTTTAGAGCCAAGCAGACTCCTTAGCCATGTTGGCCATACAGGAAATAGTGTAGTTAGTTAGGGGTCATACTCTTTCTCTGTGTTGGTGAAGTCTTTGTTTTCAGCTGCTATCTTGTTCATCTCTGCCTCCAGCTCCTGTCCAAGCTGAAGCTGCTGCTCAAAGACCTCTCTCTTCTGTTTGTAGGCCTTTTCCAACTCCATTATTCTTCTCTTGACTTCTTCTCGTTCACTATAGAAAGATAGTTTTTATATGAACAGGTGTCTTTATGACATACTGCCAAACAAGACTTAACAGACAATACAAATGTTGCCGAATGTTGCCATACTCAAACTCTTGCTCCTCTCTTTGTTGTTGCTCTTCAGATATTTCCCTTATCCTTTCCAGATTGATAATGTGCACTCCCCGCATCTGGTGGTTGTCCTCATCTGAAGAGTCTCTGAAATTGTCACAATTGTTAGACAGGTGTCTTTATGGCATATTGCCAAACAAGACATAGTAGCAAACAGACAATCTATATTTTGCCTTGAGACACATACCTGAACTCTTGCTCCTCTCTTTGTTGTTGCTCTTCAAATATGTCCATGATCTCTTCCAGATTGATAAAGTGCACTCCCTGCATCTGGTCGGTGTCCTCCTCTGAAGAGTCTCTAATATTTTCACAATTGTCAGACATGTTGCCCTGGTTAAGTTGTCGTGTTACCTACCTGATCAGCTTACTAACTGAAGTGTTTCTCCTCTGAGCTACAGTCTGTCTGCTAAAGATTCCACATGCTATGACCTCACAAAGCAAGGGTTCCGTAGTCCATGGAAAACGTAGAACCATAGAATGGAACATGGAATGTTCCCAGAATGTTCCCCTCTCCAATCCAACACGAGTAGTTACCCTGCTTATAGAGTACAGCAATATACGTTTTCTAGCTACCAAGTTAACTTCCTGATTATGAGGCCCACTGAATAGCAGTTTCCTCTGGGAATACAAATACACAGCATGTCCAGTGCTACCTTGAACATTTACATCCATCAATGAGCCTTTTAGTTTAGCTTTGACCGGCATCTAACTGTTTGGTCAAATCAGAGGCATGCCAATTCATTGTAACACAGACAAGCATGCAGTTCTTTCAACACATGCATGTTCAGACCTTCTGTGAATCAGTTACAGACTTGTGATTTAGGAATCTGGAGCCTTACAATTGGTTTGTAACTGCAATCCGCATTGAAAATAGCTTCAGTGGTATCTATTTATTTAATCCCATATGCATACATCCAGATATGTTCTGGGTATGAAGGTTGAACTGCACACGTGTTGGAAAGCCATGGCCTCTGTTGTTGCTAAATGTATCTTTTATAAAGTGCAATAAAATGGATATGAAGAATACCTCTGCAATACATATGGATGTGGAGGGCAAATATAGAGAGACTGTCTTCGATGCTCACATATGTGGCACCATGTACTGTAGGTGGAGAGTGGTGCCAGCTCCCTCCCTCCCCTGGTCTGTTGTGTACATGCCTTTTTAAACAATAACCACGAAGCATAATAAAGATTAAAAAGTAAAAACATAAGATATACATAAAGTACAACATTTAATTTTAATTTCACATGAGCAAAATGACACGCATCTCTTTCAGTTTTTGGTTATTAATGTACAGTTTATTTCAAACGACGACCAATTTTAAAAAACTGTTGTTATAAACTAAAAACATGAGCAGTTTTTTATATTCTAAATGCAGTTAAAGACAGCTTTAATTGAATACAAAATCTAACGAAATGCACAAAAGAAACTACAGTGAAGTTCACATTGTCACTGAAATGTGAATAATTTATTCATTTGAAAAATTATAATGTCAACCAATTTTAAAACAAATGTCAAAGGTTTAATTAAATATTAATGAATGAATAAAAAGAGTAAGGAAATACCATTACTGCATATTAAAGTCAATACTTAAGTATTCCATCGGTACATTCAGGCATGTTCATTCATGTATTTTGTGTCAGTTGGTAACTATTAATAATTTTGGAATTTGGCCTACATTCTTAATTAAATAATAACTAATTTTGTGTGTTTTTTTTCTTATTCATTCCTAAAGTATGTTTGAACATGGCTAATGATGTACCCCTCTATAGCCAATCTTAATTATTTAGGGGTTTAATAATCTAACTCTTTATTCCATTTGCATTACATTTTATTACATGTTTTTCTTAACAATTGGTCATTTCGAAGTTGGCAAGAGATTTGTTAATTGTGTTGTTTATATCCATATACATTTTGGATGCATGTATTCGTTAATTTACACATAAACACTTTCTTCTTGTACCACAACTGAATACTCTTTAGTTGCACACAACCTTACGCTCACAAACAATGTCACATGTATATTTTAAAGATGTTGTGTTGTAACTGGGATACATATTGCCTTTTTGTCTCAGTGTACAACTGGTGTTGTCATAAGATATCTGGATGGAGAAGGAGGATAGCAGTTTATCAGCAGAGGGATTTGTCAAATATAAACGATCTTTGGAGTAGGTCCTGTATGAAAGCTCTGATGTAAGCTAAAAGAAACAGTGGCACCTTACAACTGACATCACATCATACTACCATCCTGCCAGCCAGCTGTCCAATCACAGGCGAGTGGGAGGACCAGGGCAGGCGCAGCTGTCCAATAGGCAGATAGCGCGAGCTCTGCTCACCGTCTCGTCGCTCCTGATTTGCGGGCTGAGTTATGGAACAGGCGGGATCTGAAACCAACGAATCCGAAGTCGTGCGTGTTTCTCATTATCATAAAGTATTCAGCAGCATCCCTCCGTCTGTCTGCCGGCAAGTTACAAAGGTATCTTTTTATTTGGGGGTTGCTGACGTTTTTTGTGGGCACCCTGAGAAACAACATGAAGGATTATTATTAATGCATGGGACAATTCTGGACAAACCTGATTCTCCACCTGTTTCTCAGGAGTTCTTCCCCCGCCTAATTTTCTTTTCTATACTTTAAAAAAAAATCCTTAAAGATGTGGACCTTCCTGGGAATAGCCAGCCTCACTTACCTTTACAAGAAATCCAACACAGTGTTATCTTACGCTCACAAAGATCTCGTGATGGCGGCAGCTCTGTTCCTGGCCGTCGGGCTGCTGCTGGCGTATGTCAGGTATTTCCACAGCCACACACTCAGAGTCTCTCAGGTGTTGCATTTCCCTCTGAGACTGCTGTCCTGTGTGCCTCTTATCAACCATGTAGTCCCTCACACTTCAACACAGAGCAGCGAGAAAGCAGAAAACAACTTAAAAAAGGTAAGAAAACTCATTTACACTTATCATGTCAACAAAGGAAGACAAAGACAGCTTTCCATTTCACTGAAGTCATTTGTTATACTTATTTTTTATTTATTACTGAGCAATATATTGTATCCTATTTGTTGTTGTTGTATGAAGCATTACTGAACTAAAGTCTAAAGGGTTTATGTATTTTTGTATGTCCAAATACTGTAACTGAAATTATAGAGCCATAGCTAGTTACATGCAATTTGGGAATGTAACTATACATTTTAAACACAATATTACTCACGTTTTCCATCTTATGCTACTTTATACTTCTACTCCACTGAACCTCAGAGGCAAATGTACTTTGTACTCTAATTCATTTAGTTAACACTCATATTTACTAGATACTTTATACATATAACACAAATATGCTTATATCATATGACACATTGCTTTTGTAATAATACACCCAGTATTTCACAATGTATTTCTGTTTAGCTCCCTTATGACAAAACACAAGATTAAATGCTTTTACATGTATTTGTTGGTAGAAAAAACCGAATAACATAACATTCTGTAGTAATATAAACTGAAAGTATTTTTATTACATTATTTGTACATTTAGGATTTTAAGACCATAGTGTTTCTACTTTTACTTTAATAAAGGATCTGAGTACTTGATTAATGTATGGCTATTTGAAGAAGTATACAAAATGTAGCATGTCCCACTGTTTGCCTTACAATCCAGTTCAGTTTGGATTTTACTCAGTGTGTCCCCTCCATTGTTTCCAGAGCCGCAGAACAAGGAGAAGAGTACAAGCAGAAGAGTCCTCTGCGTCACAGAGTGCCTCAGAGAGTGGCTCCTCAGGGGCCCCGGAGCCAGACGTGGTGATAGTGGGTGCCGGGGTCCTGGGCTCAGCTATGGCCGCCGTCTTAGCCAAGGACGGACGGAGGGTGACGGTGGTGGAGAGGGACCTGAAGGAGCCGGACAGGATAGTGGGGGAGCTGCTGCAGCCCGGAGGATTCAGGGCCCTCAGAGAGCTGGGCCTCGAGGGTCAGTGGACTGTCAATCACCTGCAAATACACTCTGATGTACACATGAGCAGGAACCCCTTTGAATAATGACTTTAGTTCCTAGGTAAAAGGCTTCAAAAACACTCTCACTAGCTTTCACTTACTAGAACTACATGCACTATCAGTAACACTATTTCAAGTTTATTTCACATGAGAGGTTTCTGTGTTTTGAGTTTTACATGTGCTCTTCTCACTGGTGTGAAGTGGGCCTGGCTCAGCTGGAAAAGGTGAGGTCACATATTTCTGTGAACCAATCAGAGTGAGGCATGTCTGAATCAGAATGTGGTTTGGTTATGGTGCCACTGCTGTCAGACACATTTCCCCCACAGTCTGAACACTTTTACTCTGATTGCTGTGTTCAGTCCTAAATATGAAATGTTGTCGTGAAATAGTTACAAATTCAAACGAAGTATTAGTGGTTACTAATTCTCACCTGCTTCTATTCAGAGTATCTACATGCAGCGTACATTTCATACTTTGTGATCAGTACAGTTTTATGAGCATATAGGTATGTAATAGACAGTTACAATTTTACAAAAGTGCCTTTCTGATATTTCAGAAAAATAAGGAGTTCCTCAAAACCTCACATTCAAAACACATTTCTGGAACTAGGCTGATATTTGTAATCAAATGGTTTAAATATTTAATGTTAACTGTAAACAAATAAAAGTGTAGGTTATCTGATGTAAAATTCCCTAAGGACTAAATGATACTCTACTGTTATTGAAAAAAGACTTCATAATATCCCCTTTTTACTGTTTTTATTAGTTATTGTTTCTGTTATAGTCATGCAATATACCTCTAAAAAGACCCACCCTCAATCATAGCATAACATATGATTTTCAATGATTCCATTTACCTGTTGGTACAGACTTTTAGATTAAATGATATTAGACATCTCAAACTGTCTAAATGCACCAAATGTGTCGATGGATTTATTTCAAAACTTGTGAGTTGAATTTAAATATAACATATAGTGTTTCCATTTGATGGAATAATGGTGCAGCCATGCTGATTGAGACATGTTCCCTTGATTACAGACGTGCCAAAGCCCCCCACCACCTCTCAAATGTTTCATTTTGAGTCTCTTCTTGGTGCGTGTCTGTTAGTGACATTTCACAGGTAAAGGTCAGGGGCCCCATGACATTTATGGCCCCTGGATCTGTGCCTGTTCAGTTTGGCCCATGCAGTAAACCATCATGTATTCACTGAATCACACACTGCATGTAACACTGACCTGTTGTGTGTGTTTCTCCCAGGCTCGGTGGAGGGTCTGGACGCCCACCAGGTGAACGGCTATGTGATCCACGACATGGAGAGCAGCACAGAGGTGGAGATCCCCTACCCCCAGGGGAAGGACAGCATCCACTGTGGACGAGCCTTCCATCATGGCCGCTTCATCATGGGCCTGAGGAGGAGCGCCATGGCCCAGCCAAAGTGAGTAGGGTCTTAAAAAAACATGACAAACTTTTACGCAGGCTGTTAGTAGGATATTGTTTCTGACAGCAGTGAGTTGGAAGAAACAGACGTATAATTAATTGTTCACATGCAGCAATTTTTTCAATTTTATAAAGTGAAGCTACATAATAAGTTCAACAAACTCAGGATCAACTGATCCGCTTTTTCTAGAGCTTACAACCTCACTTTTGATCATCCTCTTAACTCTGGAGGAATTTAATATGTAGACTGTGAGTTTAGATTTTTTTATTTCTGTCAAATTGTTTTGACTTTAGGTCAACATTTCAATTTTTAAGAAAAAAAGTCAAGTGTCTACATGACAAGTTCTTCCGTGGGGTATTTCTATCCCTCATTTACACTTACCTTTGATCTTTAAGCACATATTTCCTTTTTATACATTTTCCAGATGAATGAGAATTCTATGAATGGACACAATTGACCTAATAACACTCAGTCCTAATGAGATGTCATTTTAGGAATTTTAATCTCAGGTATTTTCATATAATTATTTCAGATGTATTTTGATATAAAGGGCTATTCATGCAAATATCAGTGCTTGCTTTTGCTCTTGCTGTAAAATCACAATGTACTATTTTGTCCATAAATATGCATTTATTTCGTTCCAGTAGCATTCCTTCCCATGTTACCCATGCCTTAACGTCTCTAACTGCCCTATTGCGCCCCCCAGTGTGACAATGTTAGAAGGCACCGTGACCACTCTGCTGGAAGAGGACGGCTGTGTAACTGGAGTCCAGTTCAGAGATAAAGAAACCGGAGACATCAAGGTGAGAAGAGGAGACTTTACAATCCCCCCCCCCCCAGTGGAAATCAATACTGTATGGTTTACAGAGTGTGTGTGATGACAGTGTGATTATGTGTCCTGCAGAAGATCCACGCAGGGCTGACTGTGGTGGCCGATGGCTGCTTCTCCAAATTCAGAAAGAGTCTGGTCGCTGAGAAAGCTCAAACCTCCTCTCACTTTGTGGGATGTCTTATGAAGGTGAGACCAGCCAGCCCTACCTGAAATGTCCTTCATTCTGTTGTTGTTTTTCAATATATTCAGTTTCTTTATTACAAATGTATTCATCAATTCATTGAGAAAGTAAAGTGCAGATTAATCGATAATGATAATAAAATGTGCAAACCATATTGTTCTGAATTGACCATAAAAACTTAATAGCATTTGAAAGATACATTCCATTTAAATGGGCCCTATTCCGCTCATTTTCAGGTTCTTATTGCTATTTAGTGTCTCTACTGTCAAATGTTTACACACTTTAACGTTTCAAAAAACTCTTTATTTTTCTCATACTGCCTGTGCTGCAGCACCTCTTTTCACCCTCTGTCTGAAACCAGAGCCCAGTCTGCTCTGATTGGTTAGCTGGCCGGCTCTGTTGTGATTGGTCAACCAATTAGACATGTCCCGCCCCCTAGCCTTTCACTACAATGTGTTGGAGCTCTAGAGTAGACATTAGAAGCCCAAGTGCTACTTTGTGACGTTATAGAGGTTTCTCAATTCTCTAATTTCCCCTCCTCGACTCCTCGGTCCTCCGGTAGTGACCCGGAAATGGATTTCAGCGCGCCATGTTGAAGGACATCTCATTTCTCTAAATGCACATCGAGGACCGAGCATCGAGCATCGAGGAGGCTCTCTGGAGGAGCTATGATCGAGGAGACACTGATGGGTCCTCCACGGGTCCTCCACAGCTCCTCCGGATGTATTTCCGGCAACAGTGATGTTTCAAAGAGTCGTGACGCACGGCCGGACTGATCTCGGCCAATGACAGCTCTGCATGCATCCCCTGGATATTGTTTCATTAACTGCTTTCATCGCGTCTCGATGTTTCCAGAGAGAACAGCTGTGAGGTCCGTGCAGAAAGCAGAGCAGTGTGTATAATATATCACTCAGTATAACAGGCCTACATTACTCTCTGTATTTGCTGTAGTTTAGTAGATATCTACAAACAAAGAGTCCATATTTCTCTAAAACCGCTGTAGGTGTGTGTTGTACAGTGTGTAGGTGTGTGTGTGTTGTACAGTGCGTAGGTGTGTGTTGTATAGTGCGTAGGTGTGTGTGTGTGTGTGGTACAGTGTGTAGGTGTGTGTGTGTTGTACAGTGCGTAGGTGTGTGTTGTATAGTGTGTGTGTGTGTGTGGTACAGTGTGTAGGTGTGTGTGTGTTGTACAGTGCGTAGGTGTGTGTTGTACAGTGCGTAGGTGTGTGTGTGTGGTACAGTGTGTAGGTGTGTGTGGTACAGTGTGTATGTGTGTGTGTTGTTGTACAGTGTGTAGATGTGGCGGACAGACAGGTCTCAGTTGGTTTGGTGTCCTCTGCTTACTTTTAATACTTGTAAATACAACTTTTGGCCCATAATTTCAATTCTCCATTTCAGCGACCAGAGAGAGAGAGAGGGGGGGGGGGGGGGGATATATCCAGTCTCTGATTGTGTTACGTTATTATGAGAGTGTTCTCATATTCGTTTGATTCTGAAATTGTATATATTTATATAAATGTCCGCATCTGTAGCCTGTTATTGTCTCATTATACTGTGAATGAATGAAAAGTAAATATATAAGTCATCATGAACACATGTGTCCATCAGACAGAGGGCTGCTGTGCCTCCTGTCATCATTAATGGACGTCTCTTTAAAATGACCGCTCAGAGGAGAGGAGTTCTCATTTCTCTAACCGCCTGCTGCTTCCCCTCCTCTCTCCTCGGCTCCCCTCCTCAGTCCTCCGCTCGCATCTCCTGTGGGCGGGACTAAGTCTCGAGGATAGGAGTCGAGGAGGGGAAATTAGAGTATTGAGAAACCTCTATAATGTTATGCAAGTAAACAAAGGAGTCCAATGAAGGCATTTCAGGCAGGGAGTGTGTGGGAGAGAAACTCCCTCTGGAGGGAACACAGGGATTTTAGTCTTTGCAGACCATTTACATGCACACAATCCTAAAGAAAAGACTACGGGAAAGGGAAAAGCCCCAAAGCCTTATATGGCCTCTTTAAAATGTAATATAATCAAATCTGTGCTGATCTTACAAATTAATTTCTACTAATTTAAAGAACCCCATCTCAAATGAAATGTCTCTTAGCTCTTGATTAAAACGTTATGTTTAAATGTTTTTCTCTCCTCAGGACTGTCCCCAGTTTAGAGCCCACCATGCTGAGCTGGTGCTGGCCAACCCGAGCCCGGTGCTGGTCTACCAGATCTCCTCCTCAGACACCAGGGTGCTGGTGGACATCAGGGGGGAGCTGCCCCGCAACCTCTCAGAGTACATGGCTGAGAACATATACCCTCAGCTGCCAGGTAAAACCCACACGAGAGGAACTTTATTTAGAAAAAGGCCTCGAGGTTTTATTCCTGTGTAATCATTTCGAATGAAAAACGACCTTTGGCCAGAGTAAGAACCCCTGTAACGTGATGAATGATTTGGAATAATGCCAGACATGGTGGTGGGTAGGAATATATCCAGCCTCTGCCTGTGCTGTCGGAAGATACACTTTGACATTCATAGTGTGCCCTGCTATTCAGCTGAAATATCAAAGCCTCCATATCAAAGCATCTGGTAACCTTGACAGAGGTCCAGCTGAAATGGTGGAGTCAGGCTCACTTTTTGTGCATGTGCCCAGCGTGCACGTCTGGAGCCAGCTGAGTGATGGACGCCTGCTCTCTCTCTCCCTCAGAGCACTTAAAGGAGCCTTTCATGGTGGCACTACAGAACGACCGCCTCAGGTCCATGCCTGCCAGCTTCCTGCCTCCCTCTCCTGTCAACAAGCCAGGTACTGAACAGCTATTCACTGCCATGTTGCCATATGGCTGAAAGAGGAATCTATTGAACTGTTTCAGCTTGGGAACATTATGAGGAAACTCAGGGGAAGTAGTGCATGGCTTTGGTCTCAACTGTCTGATGAAACAGATAACGATTCCTGGTTGTCCACTCATCTGCAATGACTCAGTTCAAGGTCAAATGACCCTGTACATGCATACTCTTTCAAAGTTCGTTGAGCTCTCATCAGTACTTTGCTTTTACATCTTTTGTACTTTACCTAATACTTTACAAATACTTGTATTAACTGGAATATTACTTCTTTCTTCAAGTTATATGAGAAGTTCAATTACATTCTCTTATCTGTACTGCAAATATGAAGCTATAAGCAGCAGCTAGTTAGCTTAGCTTTAAGAATGGGAAGAACCAACCTGCCTCTATCTTAAGGAATTTTTATTTAATCCTACAAAAAGTGCAAGATAACAATTTATAACATTATCATTTTATAATAATAATAAAAAAGTAGAAAGGTGATTAATACTGCACCTATAACGTTTTTGATATACACTTTACAGCCTACATTAGCTTGTAGCGCACATGAGACATGTTGGACTGGTCCTTTCAATTAGACTGTTAATATGTGCAAAAGGGGGATGATTGGAGTTTAGTGGTCTTTATTGGTGTAATGAGAGATGACACTCTCAAAAGGTTTGAACAGTCAGAACATCTTAAATACAGCCACACAGAGACATGCTCCTGTTCACTGTGTTTGGCACTAATTGGAAGATTTGAATTACAATATGCTGAAGGGAGTAAAAAGACAACAATGACAAACAGCAGTCTTTGGTTTGCAGGCGTTCTTCTCCTGGGCGACGCTTACAACATGAGGCACCCTCTGACGGGGGGGGGGATGAGCGTTGCTCTTAACGACGTTCGCATCTGGAGGACTCTGCTCGGCAACATCCCAGATCTGTATGACGACAAGGCAATGCTGCAGGTGAACACACGGACCAGTCCTGATCATTATCATGCCAAACACTCACTGTTCCCTAATGTACCATCTATGCCATCATAAAAACCAAGGGCTTGTGTAGCTGTGTGACAGCCAGCTATATTTAGAGGCTCACTGCATCACTTTGCCCTGTGCTGTTATTCCCTGTGGTGTAGGTGAGCGACTGCAGACCACTGTGCATTATTACACTGCTTTCTTTTCTTTCCTCAATAGGCAAAAAAAACATTCCACTGGGAACGCAAGTCATCACATTCTTTCGTGGTGAATGTGTTGGCCCAGGCCCTGTACGAGCTGTTTGCAGCCACAAACGGTGAGTCTCTTTATGCCTCCGCATCTAACTGCACACTGAAACAAAATGACAGGGGATCAGAAATGATTATCCTTGAAGTGAATAGGTACAAAGGCATAATATGCAATACATTCAAATCATCTTTATTTCCATTTTGATTCTCATTGTGTCCGTGTTCCTCTTTTGTGTAACACAGAATCTCTTCATGAGCTGAGAAGAGCCTGCTTCCACTACTTCAAGCTTGGTGGAGAGTGCATTAACGGGCCCATCGGACTCCTTTCTGTGTAAGCATTAACAAATGTCCTCCACAATAACTAGATGGACAGAATGTCTCTTAATATGGTGTCTCACAAATGTCTATAGTCGAAATATAAAACCAGGGAAAACTCGCTTAGTTTAGCATTACCAATGCAAACAACAGTTGCTTGACAATGGCCAAATTCCACCTATCAGCACATTAGCAGTAAAAGCTAACTATTTGTGCTAAGCTAAGTAGTTTGCAGCAGATACATTTATCCTTCACTCTCGGGCAAGTGTATTTCCCAAACTGTCCTTTTAAATTCATGAAAAGTACAAGATACTTAATGACATTGTGATTTTTTTTAACAGGTTGACACCTAAACCCATGAACCTTATTGGACACTTCTTCGCCGTGGCGATGTACGCAATCTACTATAACTTCAAGACAGAGCCGTGGAGCACCAAACCTCGAGCTATATTCAAGAGCGGAGCCATCCTGTACCGAGCCTGCACCGTCATGTTTCCTCTCATCTACTCTGAACTCAAGTACCTGGTGTACTGAGCAGCTGTGCGTCCTCACAGGCACCACCCTCAGTCTTCACAGAGATGGCTGACTAAAGGGACTTTCTAACTGTGCTTCTACAATATGCCATTAGGCGCTTTCACACCGCAGTACTTTTCCCACAAAGGTTCATCAGAACTTAGTTCATGAGAACTCTTTAGGAAAAGGGGGTAAAAAGGTTCTCATGAACTAATTTGAGTTCCGGCTCTTTTTGGTGTGAACTATCGGAACTAAAGTGGGAAAAGTACTGCGGTGTGAACGCGCCTCTTGCCTTACTGCAGATTTCATCTCCTCAATGTCCTACTTCAATTTGGACATATTGTTTAACATTGCCTCAGTGTAGTCCTGTTTGTGCCCGCCCACAGTTTGTCCTATATGCTGAAAATGACAGTACAGTGTGTTATCTCACAGCCTGAATTACACTGAATATTTAACACTGGGATTATTCTCCAACAGAACCACTATGTTAAACATGGCATCTGAATTGCATATAGATTTTGCGATAGAGCCACTTTTCCTGCTGAGCTAATTAGCGCTGCACTATATATGTGAATCTTTTTGTAATGATCATTTATAACACAAATACACCATTAATAATCAGAAGCACTTATTATAAAACACACTTTCTGAATTATCTTTTTATAGTTAATTCAAAAATCCAGTACATTTTAAGCCCTGTTTTGTTGATGAAAATATCTGTTATATATTTGTTCAAATCACACATTCTTACTCTGTGATAATCACTTCCTGCCTTCCTGATGCTCTTTATATAAGGGACTCATTTTGATTCCCAAACTATGAAATGTGCTGACAGTGCAGCTGACAAAACCATAATCCCTGAACTCAAGAATGATCCCGGCACTATTTTAGTCTCGCTGAATGTCAGTGAAGAGCTGACGCAGCATGCCTAAGGGGAAGTTTGAATTTGACGAGGACCTGGAATGGAAGTCGCTCACATCAGGACCGAGTCAGCGGATGATGCCCAGGAGACGTTCCTCCTGGGCGGACAGACTCCTTCAACACCTGCTCTCTGTGTTTACCTGTGCCTGTGTTGGGCTTGATGGGCCGTTAAATAAAACATGATAGACAACACTCACTTTTTACAACAGAACACTTCTTTGGATACTTTGTGTGATTTCACAGTTATTTGGGTTGATGCATTCAATGAAATCTATGATTTGATACTAGTTTGTAATTTAAAAATGCAGTTCACTACACTAAACGTCCTCCAGATGGCGCTCAGTCACAGCTGAAGGATTTCTGTGAGCATGACGGTCCTGCTGATATCAGTTGGACTGCTGAACTGTTGAGATTGCAAGTTTCAGAAATAGTTTAGTACTAAACTCATGGTGCAGCTCTTTGTTTCTGTTTGTTTCATTAAAGCACAATGGAAACACTGCTGCTGAAACATCTTCAGTGTAGCATTTAACCAGTGATCGAGTAAAGGATACAACTTACAAAAGTAGAACGCCTGTGACTTCAGCTGCATAATTAGACTTAATAAAGACCTCTTTTGCAACCTGTAGTTTTACCAGAGGTTAATATACTTAGCCCCTCTATAGAAGAGGTGTTTATACTTACGAAGACTAAACTACGGTTTTATTCTTAAGTAGAATCTGATTATCGTTAGATACACTTAAAGGTGGGGTAGGTAATTTTGGAGAAACCAGCTCGAGTGCGCTAGAATTTGAAAATACACAACCGGAAAAAATCTGCCACTTCCTTACAGAGCCCCTCCTCCAACACACACGAACGCGCACATGACCAATGAGGGCACGAGATAAGTTTGTGCACAGATGGAAGGCTGACAGGCAGGTAGGCCATCCAGTTACTTTAGCCGGGCCGGCTCAGATGATTGGTCGTGCTTTTTACAGTACTACGGCTTCCAGAGATGATATTTTTTTATGGATTTTTTGTCAAAGCACTTCAGATATTCATTGCTATCGGGATGTTAAGTACGACGGAGTATTAGGGCCACACTTGCAAGAAAAAAAACAGAGAGATTTCGAGAATAAAGTCGTAATAATACGAGAATAAAGTCATAGTTACGAGAATAAAGTCGTAATATTACGAGAATAAAGTCATGGTTACGAGAATAAAGTCGTAATGTTACGCGAATAAAGTAATAATTACGAGATTAAAGTCGTAGTTTCATAAGTGACTTGAGAAGCGGGCTTGGAGGAGATTGTCTCCTTTCTGCAGGAGGAAATGGAGAGACAGCAATCATTTCGTGGCATCTGCAGGCAGTGGCAAGTCCTTCCGGCATATGCCACAGAGGCCGCTACTCTGTGGTAGCTGTGGCAAATCCTTCCGGCATATGCCACAGATGCCACAATTTGCCGAGGCATCTGCCGCTGCTCAACGGGAGTTGCCACAAGATGCCAGATTAAGAGAAGGTTTACGGTAGCTGCCACTCGCCTTCCGTGGCAAATGCTGCTATTTAAACCTGTATTTATCGTGTAAAATGTCGCTGTTTTGGCATGACTTTATCGAACTGATCTCTGTACACAGGACTGATGATCTGCAGGACTGATGGTCCGATCTCTATTTTTTAAAACATTATAATTTCTATTCAATTTTACTTGGAGCATGGTTTGCTAAAATAAACAAACGTGCTATATTTATGATGAAATATTGGCGAGTGAGGGCATCCATGGTTGCAACCCCCTTGGCAATTTTTGCTTCTTGAGGGGAGTTTCCACTGCTTGCTACGATAAACCAGGTGTATGACTAGTAAAGACAAATAATTAACAAATACATATATGTATTGACACAGAACGTGTACACTGGTGTTATTAGACTTGGCTACAGACTTAGGGCAGCTGTAACTGATTGCAGTTGCCACTGCTAGTGAGATGCTAAGGTTTACTTTATAAATTAGGCAAAGGACTTATATTTGCCCCATGCCTTCAGCAGCAGCAGGCCATTCACTTTGATTTGATCCAGTTATGAAATGTCATCATTTCGACAATAAATAAATGCTACATAAACGTTATCTTGCACGTTTTATCGAACCATCTCCGTTTCTAACTTTCAATATATTTAAAAAGAGATCTCTCTCTCATCTGCGTGCGGGGGCGGGGCCTCACAGACATGCTGCTGCGCTGTGCACACAGTTCTGCCGGTAATGAATATTAGGATACATTTTGTGAGGAAACTTTTCCACCAATAATTCCAATAAGTATTCCAAAATGTATTCACTTCAGGTTTATGAAAGTAACTGTATTCGGATTAGTTGTTTTTCAAATGTAACGCGAGCTGAATACAGTTAGGCTACTTGGTTTTTGTATTCTGATTACGTAACGCCGTTACATGTACTCAGTTACAACCCAACCCTGTGCACAGATCATCAGTCCTGTCCAGTTCGATAAAGTCATGCCAAAACAGCGACATTTTACACGATAAATACGGGTTTAAATAGCAGCATTTGCAACGGAAGGCGAATGGCAGCTACCGTAAACGTTCTCTTACTCTGGCATCTTGTGGCATATGCCGGAAGTACTTGCCACAGCTACCACAGAGTAGCGGCCTCTGTGGCATATGCCGGAAGTACTTGCCACAGCTACCACAGAGTAGTGGCCTCTGTGGCATATGCCGGAAGGACTTGCCACTGCCTGCAGATGCCACGAAATGAGCCAGGCCCTACTGGAGAAATGGCTGGTTCTGGCCGACTACATTACATTGCATTTAGCTGACGCTTGTATCCAAAGCGATTTACAATAAGTGCGTTCGACCAACAAGATACAAACTTCAAGAAAACAGCATCATATAAGTACATCAGGTTTCATAGAGCTAAAAAATGTCAAGTGCTACTCAACTGGCTTTAGATAAGCCAGTCCTTTTTAGTAGTACTTTGTTAGCAATTCTTTGTTAGTAATTCTATCGCTCGAAGTGGAGTCGAAAGAGAGTTTTCAGTCTGCGCCGGAAGATGTGTAAGCTTTCTGCTACACTGATTTCAATGGGGAGCTCATTCCGATTCCACTACAAGGCTATCGTTCGACTCCTTCTGGATCCAAAGCCTTGATTACAAGTCTCATCGTTTCTTGTGAAACAACAAATCCCCTTTGAACAGCTCGTAGATGTAACCGACGATAGCCTTGTAGTCGGCCAGAACCAGCAATTTCCTCCGGCAGAAAGGAGACAATCTCCTCCAAGTCCGTTTGGTTCTTTCTTCGATATAATAGACAGTTTATTGCACAACCTTTTCAAAGTTCAAATACTTATGATAATCTGATGCGCCAAAAGATTAAGTATTTCGTTATTTGAGAAACCAAAACTAAAGTAGGCTAGGGCCTACTGCTTTACAAGATGCTCCACATTCCTCATTTTATTGCAGGACGCTCCTGTTGTCTCCTTCTCAAGTCACTTATGAAACTACGATTTTAATCTCGTAACTATGACTTTATTCTCGTAATATTACGACTTTATTATCGTAACTATGACTTTATTCTCGAAATCTCTCTGTTTTTTTCTTCTAAGTGTGGCCCTAATACTCCGTCGTAGTTAAGAGCATTCCATGGAATATAACAAAAAGTGTTTCTGAAATAAATACCTTTAACGACCGCAGCAAGGCTTTGTAAGTTTCCTGTTATTTAACTGGAGTTAGTCGGCTACATATAGTGGGGTGGTCTTCTGGGTTCAAGAGAGAACTGGCCAAAGGTAGGTTTTATCTCCGACTGCTGAATGTACACTTTAAACCAGGATCAGTGATTGATAAAGCTGACAGCTGAAACAGATCATCATTTTACACACACATGTTGTAGGATGTATGTAAAATACAAACGTTTAATATATTTGGATTTAAAAGCTGCAGCATGAAAGTAAAACATAAAATATTTTAATAAATGTTTGACTAGTCAATGTACTGTTCCATCTCACAACCCATTAGTTTTCTTCTTAAACATGAACCGTTTCACTGTGTCATCTTGCTTACATTCAAAGCACCTGAGCAGTTTAGTAATTCAAAAGATGTGTAAGCAGTGTATCAGGTGAGAGTGAAATCAAATCCAACCTACAGAGCAGCAGCGGGAAACTCCTACCAATTCTGAGCAGCTTTACTTTTAAATAGCAAATATAGTGACGTTTTTTTATTTGTTTTGGGGATTGTGTACAAATGTGTTTCCAATTAACACTTAAGAATGTGAATACAAAAGAGCACACAACTATCCTTTGAGGAGTTAAGTGTAAAAAAAGCAGATATATTAAACTAAAAAAAGAAACATCACAGATTCAACCCAGCTTCCACACATTTCCTTCTTTTTGGTGTCTATATACGCCGGGATCCGGAGTCATGGATGATCCTGCGGTCCTGTGTCCTGCATCGCGAGCCCTGGATCTTGAGTCGTGGCTGTGGTCCTGGATCATAGGTCCTGGATGGATATGCTCGTGGATTCATCTTCCTATTATACACACATGCATTTCCAAACATTTGGACTACCTATGTTGCAAATGTATTATCTTTTCAATTTACACACGGCATCTATTGCACGTCTGTCCGTCCTGGGAGAGGGATCCCTCCTCTGTTGCTCTCCCTGAGGTTTCTCCCATTTTTCCCTTTAAACTGTGGGTTTTCTCCGGAAGTTTTTCCTTGTACGATGTGAGGGTCTAAGGACAGAGGGTGTCGTATTGTCATACTGATATTCTGTACAAACTGTAAAGTCCACTGAGACAAATGTAACATTTGTGATATTGGGCTATATAAATAAACATTCATTGATTGAGTCGTATCCCAGGTTACAACAATTAATTCAGCTTTATTGTTATTTATACATCACTGATACATTGTAATCTGGTGAAATGATCGGAAGAATTATCCATATTATTCTTTGTGGCTCCACAAGGACACAAATACTGGTGTGGAAGACCAGGAAGGGGTGGAAGGATACGTCCTGTACACACCCCCCCCCTCACCCTGCCTGCAAACCTACCTCCACCCACCGACCTGACAGCCAACAGCAGAGAACCAACCTTCCACCCCCCCCCCCCCCCCTTCCTGCCTCAGAGTAATCCTCCTTATTAGACACACAGAGCGTTAGTGCATACCCTTATTGATATTGGTAGCAGCAAGCTTCTACTAACAGTTAACATCTTAATGATCTAAACAAAAAAAGTACTGTACAGCTACTGCTAAGAGAATATAGGAACCTGGCCTGACGCTTTACACCTGATTAAAGTGCTGGAAGCAACCCACCAATCCACACTTTATTATATATATATATTTATATAGCATTATGTATTTATATATATATATATAAATATATATATATATAGGAACACATCTACTATTTGAACATTAATTTACAGGGTAATAATATACATAATATTGTAACAGCTGAAATATCAGCACAAGTAGATCACTGTCACACTTAACAGCAAAATATATATGATTATATAAATCCCTATATAATCATATATACCAATAAATAATTGTCATATATGCATGTAAAACAGTTAACCATGTCGCGGGCTTTTCAAATGACCACCCCCCCCCCCCCGGAAAAGCGATCGTGTATCAAGACGTCAAATCTCTACAGGTTTCTCTCGTGAAAGAGCGACGGGCCGCGGCTAAAGTGCCGCGCCTCCCCCCCCCCCCCCCCCCACCTCGCGGGTACTTGAGGTCACAGGACAGTTATTTTGCATATTCCACAAATCTATTGCAATACGTTACCGTCTACGAACAGTACACCCACTGAACAGAACAGCACGACGAGGGGTGATCTGAGTATAGCTATGTGCTTCAGATGGTGTGCTATGACAGTGAACGACAGGAGGACTACAATACACAATACTCTATAGTCAGTATACTCAGAAGACAACCCAAAACTGTACTGGAAAAAAGCCTAACACCCCCCCTTACACGGCAAATCCTCTCTGAGCCAAGTGTCATCATATCCTGCTGCTGATGAGTTTTTTTATTTTATTTAAATGCGACACTACCATCACCAGGAGTAATGGAATGTGTTCAGCCTCTGTCTGCCTACCTGGGTCTCTCTCTGTGGAGACAGCACAGTGAGTAACATCCTACTAAGTTCTAGGGGGGGGGGGCTCCTTGAGGTTCTGTGACGGACACACGATCTGGACGAGTAGGGCGGTCCTTTTCTCGGTTCAAACGCCAACACCTTCAGGTGGAGAGGAGTTCTAATGCTCCTAAAGGCTCTCTCCTCTCCCTCACTCACACACTCCCCCTACTCTGCAAAGACGCCGCACAAGGCTGTAACAAGATACACACAAAGGTCATTTTTCACGAAGAAAAAGAAGCTCCGTAATAACTGCAGTAGTAACGCACAACAAGCATCTGGCAGCTGGCCTCCTGCGGAGCCCGGTGATGTGCAGTCAGGTTGGGGGCCATTGTTCTAAAGGAGGAGGGGCTCCTCGCTTTGCCCTGTTGCAGGACTTGTTTTTTTCTCTCCCTGTGGTGCACTGTTATTCAAAAGCCCAGATCTCTATGTCCTGAACATAGAAATCCTCCTTCTTCGACAGCATGGGGTTCCCAAATGTTTTACAGGAGTGGCTCCTGCCGTGGTACAGGTCTCCGTCCAGCCACAGGCCGAACTCCCCGCTGGGGAGAGAGACAGGGCTTAGCTGGAGGTTATCATCCAGGAGGCTACAGTCTTTAAGGCATATTTCATGACTAACGCTTTTATGCAATGAAAATCATTTTTATACACACGTGAGAAAAATACTAATCTGGTGATTTATTATAAGTGTGATCTAAATAGTGTTTTCTCCTGTGTTAAGCAGATGAAAAAACTGATTTTGCCACTAACATTTATAAATGTGTTTGTTGTTGTTCGGCCACAATAGGCTGAAGTGCACCATTACCTCATGGTCGAAATACTAAAAGCACTCACTTTTGTATTTGAGTCAAGTCCCTCCCATGCACTCTAAACACAGTGACAGCATGTTAGCAGGTTACACTACATTAGCTTCAGTCTCACCTGCTTCCAGACAAAAAGATAGAACAAAAGGAAGATTTCTTTCCATCAGTTCTTAAATGATGTGTTATTCTCAATTATCTACCTCTTCAATATCATTATTTCATTCGGGGGAATAACTTTGAACTATATTGTATCATTAGATTCTACTAAAAGATATTTAGTTCAGACTGAAAGATGTGTCTGTAATATTTGACTCACCTTCCTCCACCAAAAGATAGAGAGTCCATATTTCCTTTCATGAAGAACATGTTGTCTCCTGTCCATTTGAACACCTGACACACACACACACACACACACACACACACACACACACACACACACACACACACACACACACAACACACACACACACACACACACACACACACACACACACACACACACACACACACACACACACACACACACACACACACACACACACACACACACACACACACACACACACACACACACACACACACACACAGAGTGGTGTTTACCCCGATGGGAGCAGAACACATCGATGTTTACCTCTAAGGCATGGTCTAGTATTAACATCTTGCCTTGCATTATACTATAACGCAAGGCATATAAGATGGTTCATATATTAATAGATACCTTTCCTTATTTTAATATCCTACGATTCAGTGTTTAGTGTCTGTAAACATCTGATCCAAATTAGGTGACATTCTGATCATTATTTGCAGAGATACATTTGATAATGCAGACACTGTCCTTTTAAGAGAAGTCTACATTTTCTATATTTCTGGTTATGGGGAAGATCCAGACAATCATTGAATTGTCATAGATGACAGGATTAAAGCCCCTTAATGTAAACCTGTTATGCAAATATAGCATTTTTTTAATTCCTCCACCCTGAAAGCATTCCAGTGTAAATGCTGTCAGAGCATAACCAAGAATGCAAGTTACAAAACGCTCCATGCCTCTGAAATTGGAAGCTTTAAAGAACCGTTCAAAGAACACTTTCAAATGTATACAGATATACAGACGCATATTTATCAGCGCATGGGTTGGGAGTAGAAGAAGAGCTTATTCACCGTGTAACCTCGAGTCTATCCTGGCTTAGTATTGCATACACTATGTTATCTGGGTTAAGTCTGCAATATTAACGCTTTGCCTAAAACAGTCTTTTCAAACTTCTTTCCAGTTCCACACAACATTATTGTGTTGGAAGTATCCAAGTGTTTTTGGCCCGTTACACAAAAAACAATATTTTTGTTGCGGATAAGGCAGATTACACAATGTTTACATTCACAGTTTGCATGGTAAACCTCTTAGCATATTGTTTATCCACACAAAGGGCAGATACAAAATGACACTACACCGTGGTAATGTTTGCAACCACATGATGATCACCTCAAATATTCACTCTCTTTTAGCAAATGTTCTTACCTGAGGGAAAGTGCCATCATAAAGGACACTGTACATTTTTGAATTCCTACAGAAAGTGAAGGTAGTGTACCTCAAACTCTGGATTGAAGGTGAAGAGGAAGGTCTCCCCGGTGCCATAGAAGCCATCGCTGACTTTAAAGGGCTCAGACGCCAACGCACCAAACACCTGGAGGAACAAATCACAAAGAATGCAATAACAACAATTAACACCTGAAGTGTCCATCTTTTGAAATGGTTTCCAATGAGGAGGAGAGCATATTTCATCATCGCCTCGAGAAGAAGCACTGCATCCTGCATTTTCTTTTTAGCGCTACAATGTTTTTGCTCCAAGTGTTTCCACTTGAAAATATCAACTTTTTTAAGAAAGTCACCCGGGTGCCGTCACTGCAGCAATCAAAGGAGATGCTTGTTTTCTGCTCTGTCTTTCATAAGGAAACTACCAGAATAAAGACCAAAAAGGTCATTTGTTGGATTAGATTAGATAGAACCCTGATGATGCTGCCGGTGAGTGTTGTGATTTTTTTAGCCATAACGTCCTCGCTCTATAGCGCCAACTGTCTGAGAGGTGAAGCTCATCCATTCAAAGCGTGAGAGCAAGCATCTTCCAGTTTGTGTTTATGGTGGAAAAACAAATGTACTTAGTCACTTCCCCCCTCTGCTTGGGAGGAGGCACCGCCCAGCTCCCTTCTGCGGGAAGACGACGCTCTGTGTACACTGGGCCTAACTCAGCTCCTACATTTCCCAGTGTTCCCCTGCTGGGTTGTATCTGCAGCTCACCTGGCCGTCGCTGTCCTTAATCACCATGAGCACGGGGGTGTCCTGGCCCTGCATGGCTCTGTACAGAGACTTGATGCTCATGCCATGCTTTGATGTGCCAAAGGCCAGCGTCCATGGGTACCCAATGGTCCGTGGTGGGAGATTCCTGGCGAGCTGTGTAGGGAGGGGGGGGGTTATAATAAAGATAAAGGAAGCAGAGAAAAGAGAGAAAGGAAATGAAACACGGAAAGGCCACAGCCACCAATGCTCAATTACATCTGCAGTGACCTTTTAACACTGTGTGGCGTTTAGAGAAGAGTAACAGGGCTCCGAACACAGGAGAGGCCAGCTCTCCCTGCTGCTGCCCGACTGAAGGATTAACAGGGCTGCGCTGCGCGGGGAGATAAAGCGGAGCAAGGCGCTGGAGGGGGGGTGCACTGGATGCTTCATTTTAACGGACAGATAAAACAGACAGACAACTCTCTCTGTTTCCCTCAGTATGGATCCTTTAAACGTTCTGTGCGCTCTACACTAATTCCTCAGTCCTTTGCTCTTCTTCTTGTTTGTTCAGCACTTCCTCCCGTGGTGGAGCGGTCTATAAGCAGCAGGCTGGAGACGGAGCCCTGAGGAGAAGAGCCTCACCTTCGCTCTGCTGTGATTCGACCTCTGCTCTGAGCCACGTCCTCAGGGACATTAAAGGAAGACGCACACTGGCAATCTATTGGTCAATATGCCGATAGGGACTCATCTGGGTGTGTCTGCGTGTGCACTAACCTGCAAGGCCTGCGGGGCGTACAGTACACCTCAAACAACATAAAGGTTAGCGCCTGAGACAAGTCTGTTAATGTGTTTCTCAATTGTCAATATGAAGTCAGATTGAAAAAATCGCCAAAGAATGTGCCATTTATACCCATATCCACCAGCGGGTAATATTTACCTCATAGAAAATGCAGCGTAAACATGACGTGTTGCTATAGCAACGCCTTTTGCCTACTGCAGTTCCTTATAGATAGATAGATAGAGAGAGAAAGAGAGATAGTTATAGATAATGTAACATCTTGGAGAATACAAGATCTTGGATGACTGAGCTCACGTTGAGGACGTAATGCATGTGTGCAGGTTACGTGCCAGTTGAATAAAGATGGACACTCGGAATGAGCGAAGTAGTCCGCGTCGTCTGTTTATGTAGACAATTATATGTCCATAGAACAGAACATTACAGATGGATCGATAGATAGTTATAGATAGATAGATAGAGATTTGTACCTAAACAAAACAAGTCTAACACCAAGCTTTTAAATAAGCACTGGTAGTGATATTTTATACTTCATGCTATCTGCACAAACTATCATAGCATATGGAAAGCTGAGAGTCCACAGATTCTATTGGTATAAGTTTCATCCCTGTGCGATCAAAACTCACTGTTCTGTATGATAGATAAAAGAACATTGTAAATCAATTGAAAATCAATAGCGGGTACATGTGACCTCTGGCGGTTCTAGTGTTAATAACTGAACAGCATGTCCCCGTCTAGAAATCCTGACAGAGTTAGAGACCTAAGTTTCAATTAGGGACTATTTTCTTTCTACAGTATCACGCCGTAGAAAGAAGCGTGCATTTACTAAATTATAAAAGGCTTTCCTGAGCTCACTTGAGTAATCTAACATTATTGCTCAGATGTCTCCATGTTTACATTATTGTTCACAAGCTCAAGTCTCTCGTCCATGAGCAGGTGCATGCTTCCTTCTGCGTGGTAATACCATACAAATAAGATAGTTCCTACATGAAACAAGGACTAAGAACTATCTTTAGCAACTGGGTCATGATTTCTAAAAGGAGACATTGCTGTCGAGTTTAACAAATGTATTATTTGCAGCTGTGAGCACCACAAGTGAGTGCCAAGAGACATTTCGAACAACAACTCACAGTAAAAATCGGATTCATAAATATCAGAAGATAAATTATTTTTGATTTTGGGGCAAACTTTCTCTTCAATCATACTCACTTTGCACCGTCTCACTTTGCCACCACCCATAGCTTAATGGCTTCTGAGCCTGGTGGAAGAGTGAGTGTGCTGATGGTATATAATAGACTTTTTTGCTGTTTGTACTAGGGCTGCACCATTCTGGAAAAAAAATCTAATTGCGATTTTTCTGACAAATATTGCGATTTGCGATATTAATTTTTTAGCGACCCAAAGGAAGTTTATTGTAAAATGCGGCCAGAACTCCGTCTAGGAAGGTCGTATCAACGTGCTCCCGTCTCTAGCACCCTCGCAGCCGAGCTACGAGTGAAAGAACTAAACTTACATGAAACTTCTGTTAGGTTGCTTTAAAGTCAAGCTTCAGTTTAAGATTCACCCTGTAATAGAAACATGTGATGGAGCATTACTAACCTGACTCAGAAACCATCTAAAGCTCCATTGGAAGCCATTTGGAAAGGGCAGGCACTTTCAAAAGCACTTGGCAGGTGATTGGATCAATCTGTCTATCACCTTCTATCATGGGCCACTTCTGATTGATTAACAATGGCTGGTACATGTGGAGCACAGCACTTCTGATTGGTGCGGTTGGGTAGGCTCGTGTATAATGGTTACTTCAGCAGTGAATACATTTGTTTCCCGAGTACACGGTAGGCAAATAATCCTAAAAAGGGAGCTGAAGGAAAGGAGGGCTACATTTTCTTACAAATTTTTACATTACATTGCATTTAGCTGACGCTTTTATCCAAAGCGACTTACAATAAGTACATTCGACCGGGAAGACAACCTTGAAGAAAACAGAATCATATAAGTACATCAGGCTTCATAGAGCAAAAACATTTCAAGTGCTACTCAACTGGCTTTAGATAAGCCAGTCCTTTATTAGTATAAAAGTGCTTTGTTAATAAATCTATCGCTCGAAGTGGAGTCGAAAGAGATGAGTTTTCAGTTTGCGCCGGAAGATGTGTAAGCTATCTGCTGTCCTGATGTCAATGGGGAGCTCATTCCACCATTTTGGAGCCAGGATAGAAAACCCACGTGTTTTCGCCGATGGGAACTTGGGTCCCCCTCGCAGCGAGGGTGCAGCGAGTCGTTTGGCTGATGCAGAGCGTAGTGCACGCGCTGGGGTGTACGGTTTAACCATGTCCTGGATGTACGAAGGGCCAGATCCATTCGCAGCATAGTACGCAAGTACCAGTGTCTTGAAGTGGATTCTAGCAGTTACCGGAAGCCAGTGAAGGGAGCGGAGGAGCGGAGTGGTGTGGGAGAATTTAGGAAGGTTGAAGACCAGACGAGCCGCTGCATTCTGGATGAGCTGCAGAGGTCGGATGGCACATGCAGGTAGACCAGCCAGGAGGGAGTTGCAGTAGTCTAGGCGTGAGATGACGAGAGCCTGGACCAGAACCTGAGTCGCTTTCTGTGTCAGCTGGGGATGTATCTTCCTGATGTTGTAAAGCGTGTATCTGCAGCAACGGGTTGTAGCAGCGATGTTTGCAATGAAGGACAGGTTGTTATCTAGGGTCACACCCAGATTCCTTGCAGTCTGAGTCGGGGAAACAACTGAGGTGCCGATGTTGATTGTTAGGTCAAGAGTGGGACAATCTTTTCCCGGAAGGAAGAGCAGCTCAGTCTTGTCAAGGTTGAGCTTGAGGTGGTGAGCAGACATCCACTGAGAGATGTCAGAGCAGAGATGCGTGCGACGACCTGGGTCTCTGAGCGGGGAAAGGACAGAATTAATTGGGTGTCGTCAGCGTAGCAGTGGTAAGAAAAACCATGCGGGCTAATGACAGATCCGAGCGAGTTTGTGTACAGGGAGAAGAGGAGGGGACCAAGAACAGAGCCCTGAGGGACCCATGTAGTTAATTGACAAGGGTCGGACTCAGACCCTCTCCAAGTCACCCTGTAGGTACGGTCTTTCAGGTATGAGGTGAGGAAAGTGAAATGACAAATCCTCTGCGTTTGCATACAACCGCATGACCCACAGATCATATGATAGTATATAGGTTCATACTGCAAATACCAATCTAAAAAGGGGCCGAATAATTCACATTGAATGCACCAGAGTGAAAATGGATTACATTTGGATGAATATGGTTACATTATTGATATGTTATACATCAGCGGTGGGTACCTTCTCTATCTGGTCGGCCTCCAGGAGATCGCTGGCTTCTCTGAGGTTGGGTTTGAACGTTTCTGGCTCCAGCTCCGACTTGATGGATGTGCCCTGCTTGCAGTTCACCTCCTCCTTGGTGGTGATCTACAAGAACAAATGAATGTTAGGTAGGTATATACACTGAAACGGGGAGTTTCACTTCAGCTTCCATAAAGCATCTTTACCGGTTGGGTTCAATTAAAGCTATTTGTCATACACCTACAACTTTGGATTGCTTATATTGGGCTGTAACCTGCAACAGTATAAGGCCCAGATAGACTGAGTCAGTGGATTCTGAAGTAATACATGATAAACTCTACTTGAAGAAAATGTGTAACTTAACAGGCTATGATGACATAAAGAATATAGCCTAACCTGAGCAACAATAGTCCTATTTTAAATCTAACAGTGTTCACGCACAAAATATAAATGCAGCGTTTGCTGGCAACACACTGATAATCCAAACAACTTGGTGATGACAGCTGAATATCTTCCTGCCACTTTCCAATGCCAGACAACTAGGATTGGTTGGGCCAAACTAGAATACTGAAACAGTGTCTGGGAGAGGAGAATGCAAAGTGAATAGGAAATGAATCCAATGAATCATTTGTAATCCGCAGCTTGAAATTTTCTCTGACCAACAGACTGTTTGGGTTATTTATCTTTCTTGATAACAGAGGCTGATTGTAGAGCGCTGTGGTGGCTGGAATGCTCTCACGTTTCGGCCCTCATTCAAACATGCCTACCTGCATTGTTCTCAGGAAACATCATTCAGCCTATGGGAGTCTTACTTCCACCCTGTCCCCAACACACTATCTCTTTGTCCATCAATACTCTAAAAACTCATCTTATTTCAACAACTAAGACAATATTCTAATAAAGAAACAAAAAGGGGAATAACCACAGCTATTTCTGTGTAATCTGTGTCTACAGCTCACAAAAACAGCTAGCATTAACTACCTAGTAACCAGACTGAAGCGCTAAAAACACCATGACAACCCGTCTAAGACGGAAAGCCTGACATATGGAGATAAGGCTGCGGTTACATCAAAACCTCATAACACAGTTTTCTGTAATGGATTGATAAAAAATACTTCCTGTCAAATTCTTGAGAGGTTATTCCCAATTGATCTCGAAAAGCAAGTTTTCTATAGGTTTTGAGAATCCATGCACTCGCAAAACCTACTCAATCCATTACTTCAGAGTAAAGCAGTATGAACAGGTGTTGTTGAGGTTAGTATGCAACATCAGCAGCAGCTGCAGCCTGCTCCAGCCTCTGGGAGAGCATCCTGGTGCAGGCAGCAGTAGCAGCAGCAACAGGCTGGGCAGAGAGACAGGTCAGGGCACCTGGAGTCGTTTGCAGAGCGAGCGCAGATCGTCACTGTTTAGAGCATCGATCCGACGGTGGTACTCCGTCAGAGACACTACCTGGTAGTACAAAAACAGGGACAAGTGGAACATAAAACTCTACCGGATCTTTTGCCGGCGAGTGCAGAGAAGGTTTGAGTACTAAGTGTCCTTTTAAGTAGTGAAAACATAACACTAGTCTTTATTAAAGCAGATTTCAGAAATGTTAAGAACTGTATCCAAGGCTTAAAGGAATACCTCACCCACAAAATAACATTTTTTATATAAATTACATACCTCAAGTTACCCTTTGTTCTATATCCTCCGTGATGAACTTTGGGCGCATTTTACAACAGCAAAACTATATAAAAACATCCATTTACAAACTCTTGTAACATCATTTTTGGTTAAATGAGACTTGGACGATGCTGCATGAGGTACGCACGAGTTTATAAAAGGACGTTTTGATTCAGTTTTGGAGCAAACGCCCCGTATTTATCTACATTGATCAAGAATTCTCTGTGTATTTTGATTCTTTGTTCACCATGAATTTCTCTTAAAGAATTCAAGGTTACATGGGGTGAGTAATTGGTATACAAATGGTCATTTTTAGGGTAAAGTATACCGTTAAGTCCGCTGTTGACAAGTCCACTTTTTAGTTAAAGATAGAGAGCTCTCTGTTATTTTGCATGTTTGTGTAATTGAATGCCAACACCACTCAGTCATCCTACAAGTCAACTTAAACAAAATAACCGCAATATTAATAAAACTCTTTCTTCTGAACCAAAATGCTTAAACAATCCAAAAAGTATTTGGAGTGCAAAGTTCAAAATCCACAAAATCGACTGATGCAACAATGCTTGCCAAGTCCATGGCATGAACAATAACACACTCTCCGTTTGTCAGGAACAACAATCCAGAAAACAACAACCCAGACAGAGCAACACAATGACCTGTGAGCATGGAAACATTCCAACAGTTACACCCCACGCTGCCAGCTCCGCAGAGAGCTGCTGCCTCTGTTCTGCCACTGAGTCAACGTTGGCGTTTACTAGTCCACTGTGTCTCATACAGGAAGATATTTTAAGCCTTGTGCACAAGATAAACAAACAAACACACACACACACACACATACCATAGATGTACAGAGTCAAAAATAATCTCTCCTAATATGTTTTAAATGTCAGGGAAAACATGTCATACATTGCCTTTAATTACTTTTTACAACTAAGATTATCTTTCGCTTACCTTGTGGCCTTTGGTGTAAATAACTGTTTTGGTAACAAGTTGCCTCTTCACAGCACTCAATAATGTAGTAGATAACTACAGCCCTAATAAAAAATACATGTGTGCCTCATTTCACCTACAGCTGAAGGCACTTTAGTGCATTTGTGCCCTGGAAAAGGGTTAGCTAGCAGCATGCTACACTTTGCAATGTGAATCAATCTCTTAAGAGATGAATCTCATAAATAAGGTCAGCATGATGAAGTGACAGCAAAGATTATACTGCAACACAGCACATGTTAGCATTCCAACTAACACGTTGTAGCTATAAAGTACACATGATACCTGGTAAAACATGTATGGTAATGTGAGGTCAAGACACTGGTGAGTGTATGAAAGAAGGGGCTGCCTCTTTTAACTGGCACCCCGCACTGGAAACTTTCAGACAGCTTACAGAGCCCCACACATCGTATCACAAGGTGCCAATGGGACAAACAACAGATGAGAGCACCTTCCTGACTACCAAATAGTGGTCGGACAGTGGCCACTTTGTTCAAAATCAATCACTGACTGCTGACTGCATACTGCTGTATAGAGGGCTAGCGGGCTAGTTAGCTTCGCTAGCGAGCTAGCACGGCTTGCTAACAACAACAACATCATACCAAATACATCACCAAGGACCGAAAACATGACCTAAACATAAGGAACATACACAAGTATACTTAGGGCTCAGCCGCTTTTTTTGGTCTTTCACCCTCCTAGAAAACATATCTTGCTTTCGGAGCGAGGTTGAAGCTGGAAAGTCACATTACAAATCCTTTAAGTTCTCCAAGTAAAGCCCCGAGACAAGAAGACGGAGTTGATATGAAGCCTGGCAGCTTGCTTGACTGAAATAGAAACATTTTTTCCCAACGGGGGCATCTCCACATGGATTGTGTGACATCGCTGTAAACCAGTAATAACACGGGACAGCAGGGAAACCGGCTCCCCATTGGTTGATAACAACGATGACCCCCGTCCCATAACCGACCATTTAAAGAAACAGTAGCACCACTAGCACACGAGGTATGATTTCTTCAGGACAGTATCCAAAAGTTACGTAAAGAAGTTCAAATTAAATCAAGTAATAATTAATACACAACTTAACAAGCCTAAAGACAAATGTGTCCGTTTCCCCCCGAAACAATAACATTTATTTAAATAAACTCACCTATTGGTCCTTAAAGCAACAAGCAAAAACAGTGTTGCTTTAAATTCATGTATTATTTTCAACAGGACTAACAAGAGAAACAGGTTCCTATTTACTTATTTAAATGTGATGGAACATGAAAAACAAATCACCCCACTTTGTTTCCTACTACATCATGAATTTACATTAAAGTTTAAATCCCTGCCACTGCTTCCATGGTATCAATGTCTTCCTACAATGAATGACCTATTTTCATTATCCACAGGGCTGTTAATAATCTGACCACAACCTATTCACAGTGTGGTGCAACTGCTTCCAATAACAGTGCTGAACATCTGTTGTCTTTGCTTCCAAGTCTTACTTCACCATTCTGTTCATGTGCAATCAAGAAGACACCTTGAGAAGTAAGTTTACCAAGAAAGTAGGACAGACTGAGCCCACATCACTACCAAGTGAGTTGAGGTGATTTCAAAGATAAGAAACTGTAATGGTGTTAGCCTTTTTCCATTCTGCAAAAAATGTTTCTAAATGTACACCAACACTAGAGACAGTCACACAACATATAATGAAAACTACAAAACACTAACTGAGAAGAATAAACAATTACACAAACATGCAAAACACTTTGGTTGGAAGTTCAGAGAAGCACATTTCCAAGCAAAGCAAGTGCTCACACAACTTACATGGACTTACAAAGCTGCCATCAAATCAAGAAATATGCAGTGGTATATAAAAGTGCAATACACAGAAGCAGATTACAAAACTAAGGTTTACAACTACACAGTTATGATGGCTTAAAAATGAAAATTAGCCCGTTTTCACTATGCATTGCATAATAAAAGCAAATCAACAGTTATACGACATGTAACTTAAAATACAACAATTAACAATACACCACATGAGTTTCTGCGCTCACAGTTATGGAATAAATCATAGTGGAGAACTATATTTAATCCATGTCTGTGAGGCTTAAGACAACACGTTTGATTTAACAAGGTAGGGCACAGTTTGAGCTGCGTAGACCTTACCTCCCACTCCTTGACATTGAGGTCGGTGATGGGCTCGTCCACATCTGTTTCTGTCACTTCATTCTTCTTGACAACCCTAAACCCAGGCTCCTGTCCCATCCCCCTGACCCCCTCACCATACATGTCCGGGCTCCACTGCATGAAGAACACATACAGGTGTTCTGACCTGGGGGAATAAACAGGCATTTAGAGAAAAGGCTTGATTCCTGAATTACGTTATTTGGTCAAATAAAAGCAAAACAACTTGCACTTGATAAAAAAACATTTATACAATCCATAATGATCCGCAACAAATTAATATGTAAACAACTAATACAACACCCAAAACAGTTTACTCAATTTTTCGTAGGGTGAAGATTTCTCAAACAGCTGAGATTTTGTTCAGTGTCTATCAGTAGATTTGGAAATGCTTTCTCGTCACCTCATTGCTAATTCTGCTGAACTGTTAAAACTGCTTGGCCTGTGTGACTCTGTTCTCCTCTGTTATTAAGTATTGCAAGAAAAATAAGCCATCACTTTGTTCTGAGGTGTGTGGGTACATTTGGGAACAAATGGTTTTATAATAACACATAGTTGAACATGCATACATTGATCGTGCTGTCCCTTGTGGGCAGCACAACAAGCTGTAAAGACAACATTTACATATTATCACATTATTTAAAGTTGTTTCATCAAACAGGTTAGCTAACACTTGCATATTTACACATCGAACAAAGACAGAGCAACTTTAGCATTTGTTCGGAGTCTTATTTCTGGACACAAGGAGAATCAAATATGAACTCCTTTAGCTCTGTTTTGGTCCCCACCAATTCCTTAAGAAATATGTGTCTCTTTAGCCGCTAAATGCTCCACTATGTTCAGTAGCAAGGTACTAACTTTGTCTGTCTGCTGTTGCGCCTGTTGCGTTTAGAAATCCCAAAATATATGCTAGGGTAAACAAGCTTGATGAGACTCAACCATATCTTTTTTTAAAGTTGTGGGACTTAAACAAAAATAAATGAGGTTTAAGGATCTAAACTAAAGTATACCGTTGAGTTGATGGAAACCAAAGGCCAGGTAACATGTTTTTACAAGTCACTTCAAGCCACACCTGTCACATTACTTATTTGATACATTGTTACAATGTAAATATCCATTAGAGCAGCTTTCTCTATTATCTCCTGGGGCTCTGCAAACAGTTTAGTTTATAAAATAAGTTGCTACAGCGCATCTCATAAACAACTTGAATAAAGAACAGTTTGTGTCACATATGGCTATGGCTGGTAGACATGAAAGAGCTGAACAGACTCAGTAGGTTGAGCTGTATTCAGTGCGTGTAATAGCCTCGCTTTCCCCCCACACCACTGCCAGGACAAGACACATCATGCGGGTCGCCTCCCATCTAGGTCAAGCTACAGAGCGTCTCGCAGTGTCTGAAGAAAATAACTAAGAGCCGCTGTGTTGTCAGTCCAAACAGCTTATGATCACTCCTCCCACACACCTTGACTTGCCAAGAAACACAAGTAAAGAATAATGAGTAGTAACATGTCTTTTTAATACTAGCTTTGAATCTGCAATGCCCCTGAGCTATCCTCCCGTAGCGCAGTATCACAGAAAACTTGTTTTGCCAGGTGGGAAATGTCGTAGCTAAGCAACCTGTGGATGAGAACAACAAATCTGTAAGGAGCAAGACTTTTGAAGTTCATAATGAATAATGAAGTGAGGGGGGATTTCAGTGTCAATACTGCACGCAGACGCTCAACACACCGCATATCCAAGGAGCATTTATAGCACCATGACTAACTGAACCTGTGTGTTTGATTCCAATGTGATTAGCAGCCTAACTCAAACCCAATAATGGACATTAGAGATGTCTTATTTAGCTTGTTGTGGTTTCCCCTTTTCCGTAGTGTGTTATATAGATTTGTTAGCATGAATATTGTCTGCAAAGCCTGAAACCCCAAAGTTTCTTCCAACCCCCCCCCCCCCCGGAACTGGCCAAGTTGTAGTCCTTTGTTCACTTCCGTAACATAATGACATCACTTTGTAACATTCACACCTCTATTGGCCAGCTCTCCAACACATTGTACGTGGTGATTTTGTCGGGGCAGGAGATCTCTAAGTGGTTGACCAATCACAACAGAGCCGGCCAGCTAACCAATCAGAGCAGACTGGGCTCTGGTTTCAGACAGAGGGTGAAAAGAGGTGCTGCAGCACAGGCAGTATGAGAACAATAAAGAGCTTTTTGAACATTAAAGCAGGAGACATGTAGCAGTAGAGACACTAAATACTAATATGAACCTGAGAATGAGCAGAATAGGACCCTTTAACTTATCAGATTCACCTGATTTTTATTATTTATTTTTAGAGCCTTTGTTTCCTTTTCTCTAAAAAGATTACATAGACCATTGTGCTGCAGTCAGAATGGCTTCTGGCTTATTATTAAATCAAGTTATTACTGCAATTGGGAATCATTCTCCATTTAAACACATTACGCATTTTTCATGTAATGTGTCTCCTGTCAGTGTGAAGAGTTCCAATGTAGAGTTATGCTGGCTTGGCAACCGTACATCCAACCGGAGCGTTCCAACTTTGAAAACCCAATAAACAAGCCATATTTCCAGTGGATAAAAATGAAACATTTCAGCGTAGGTCACAAACGCATAACAACTTTTTTGAGGATACAAAACATAGCGTTGGAAACGTGCTTATTGTTTTGGGTTGTGGCCCAGTGCAGGAATAAAGTGCATGTGTGTTTCCCTGCAGAGTGAATGAATAATACATCATTTTGTCTGGCAAAGCAGCCCAGGGAGATGGGCAGGTGCTGCATTGGGAGTCAAACCAGACAAATAATGCATATTTGATTGGTTTCAAATATTTAAAGAATTGGAAAAGAGGGGCTTCAGGGACTCAGCTGACTTTTGTAGTGGGTTATGAATATGGTAGGACTGAGTCAGGTCAACTCCCTGCAGCTCTCTTCGATTAAAATCAGTCTGCTGCACTGAAAGCTGAATAATCAGAGGCTACTATATCAGATACTCTGCTTTAAAATATTGTTCCATGTCATCAGTTAAAGCACTGGTTGTATGGTTTCAAAGACACAGTTCACCCCAAAATCTATATGCTAGAAAAATAAATAGTTCCCACATGTAACTGCATAAACAAGGTTTGTTGTTGTAAATAACTGGGTCATGATTTCTGGGAAGAGACATTGCTGTTGAGTTTTTCAAACATTTATTTTGTTGCTTTGAGCACCAAAAGCCATTAAGTTTGACAACAGGAAAGTGGGAAAATACCCTTACACCCTGATTAACTAAAGCCCTGCTATAAAGGCTACTAGAGGAATAATTTCATTGTATTCAAAAGTGATGCCAAGGAACCCACCTCTCCTGCGGCACAGCGAACCAGTACTCGTGCTTCTTGCCCTGCTGGGCGTACTGCTGCATGGAGGCGCTGGCGTTGGAAACAAACGTCTTCTTCATAGGCTTCCCCACCCGCAGACACAGGAACTTGTGAGTGGGGTGCTTCCTTCTCTCTGCAGACCCTGTACCTGGAAGTGGAAATAAACACTAAAGGTCACATACAGGTCATTTCTTTTTGTAACAAGCAGGATAAATTATTATAAGAACAAATATTGACATTTTTGGGAAAAACGCCTTTTAACTTTACTGCTGAGAGTTAGATGAGAAGATCAATGCCACTTAGTCGCTAATGGTTAGCATTCAGACTGGAAACATGTTCAAAGTCTAGCTCTTGCTTTGACACTTACGTGTTTGTACTGATGAACCAAATATAAAAAGTAACAACTAAAACAATCTAGTGAGCCTTACAGGTTTTGGTTGGCAGGTTCTGCTAACCTTGGACAGAGCTAGGCTAGCTGTTAATCCGGAAAACCCTGAGCGTTTGATCCTGTTTCAAAAGTCTGTCATAAAAAAAGTCTTCTTTATTAACTGTGTATTCATCCCCTAACACTTGCTTTATTTATGTGACCTCATCTCTATCTTCTAATACTGGCTACTTCAAGTAGCATTTAGTGGCAGAAACACAACAGATGACAGAAATAAATGGAGTGGCACACTGTAATTGATGGTGGCACTTTCGCCTGTGATACATTATCAGAGGTCGATGATAAGGCCACAGCCCCGGGAAGCTGGATGACATCACTGCACCAGTGACATTACACTGGCACATATTGTTCTCCCTGGTGTAGAGAACTAGCAACAATGCTAGACAGAATAATATGAATCATCTTTGGCAGCACACTTATTGAGACAAATTCAATTTCCAAAAAGCATTAATGCAGCTTGTTTTTCGAGGTTGCTGCTGTTACTTGTGTGGGCTGTGCTAATGTGCAGCCCTGCTCAGATCCCCGTGAATTAGAAATGCTTTAGCCGCCTGACTCTCTGTGTGACAATAATTGCCAGGGAGAAAAAAAAGCAAATCTCTCTCCCGCTGTCTCGCTCTGTTTCTTCTTGGGGAGTGAAATCTCTTTGGAATCACAACTGCGTGCCCAAAGGTTATATAGACACAAGGGAGTCTGTGAGTGTGACATACTGAGGCCACTGTCAGATAACAAGACCAGGACTGTGCCACACAGATGCTAATAAGGGATGCTGCCTTGGTTTTGGACGTATTAGCCAATTCTCTTAATTAACAGCCATTTTCTCTTTTGCTTTTTTTTTTAACTACCCAATTTCCAGGCATTCGATTTATTTCAGTCAACTGCACTTTATCTTACTTTGAAAATGATTCTATATTTATATTATCACTGGTGCAAATAGAAATTCTACTTGCTGGTGCATTTCAACGATACGTAATTTACAGCTTATGTTTTCAGGAAATCAAAGCTGGAAGACTATAGTGCGATGATGAGAAATCGGTAAGTTTAGCATGTTATTGTTATTTTAAACATTAGTATCGGCCCAGAATGCTGTTTGCTAGATGAAACCATTGGGGCTTTCTTATTCGGTAGATTTTTTTTGCAAATCATTTATGTTATTTGAAAACGTTTTCTTGAAATGATGTTACTGGAAGATGTCTTGTCCTGTATTGAACAGAGATACATAAGATCTAAACTCATCATTTAGCTATACTGAAGACCTTTGTTGGCAGGTCCAACAATCCAAAGCCCCTGGTGTGACCCTCTAATCTTCAACATGGCAGTGAACACAAAATAAGTTTATTCCAGGCTTTGAGGAATTTAGTATTTGTCTAAATCCACATGAAAGCACTCCGGAGAAGGATGTCACACATAAATAACACCTTTCTGTACGCCGCCTCAGAACCTGTTTTGATGTCGGGTTTCATCGCCGCTGTGTGTGTTTGTTGCATTATGGTGTTTGATAGGCTTTAGCTTATCGCCCAAAGGAGAGGCCCAGACCACCAGAGCCCGAGATCAAAGTGCTGCATAAAGCCCCATAAAGCCGGACTAGCTCCACCAGGCTGATAACACGGAGAGGGCTGCTGCTTGCCTTCGTCTTTACATTCCAATTACTCTCAGCAAGGCGAGTGGAAACGGAAAGGTTATCGGGAAACCAACATGAAAAAAGTGAGGAGAGGAATTCGCTTTGATAGTCCTCAGAAGATATGGATGGAGCTAAACCTGAAGCCATATTCATCACCTGTAACTATTTCTTCACTCAGTAAATGTGTTTACCCTCTGCAGAGTTCTGCGTGGCTTCATTTTGTGTCTCCTCTCCTTCCACCTTCTTCTCCTTGCCTTGCTTAGTGTCTGTTTTGGAGACGTCTGTCCCCTTGTTGGCTTCCCTCTGTGGACTGGCTGAGACAGAGGCGGTGTCTGTGGCACCGGGGGTGGCTAAGCTTTGGGACCCTGGGCGAGAGGTGCTGCTGCTGGGGCCGGGGGCCTGGCTAGTGCTGCTGCTGCTAGGGCCCTGGCTAGTGCTGCTGCTGCTGGTGGTGGTGGTGGTGGTGGTGGGGGGTGTGCTTGGTGGCTTCTCTACACTGTGCTGCTTGGATCCCATGGGGGACTGGCTTTTTGGGGCAGTGTCTGGTGGATTGTCCTCTGTGGGGGTCTTCGGCAGACTGGCGGAGCCGCGGGCGCTGCCGGGGGACTGGGACCCGGCAGTGGCGGCCCCCACCTGGGTGACGGTTTGCACGGACTCGGTGGAGGCGCCTGAGGACTTGTCCAGGCGGAGGTCCTCGTTAGACGCCTGCTCCTCCTCACGGATGGGGGACAGCTCCGACTCGGTGAAGACGTCCTCGGAGAAGGAGCCCTCGGTGCTGCGGGGGGCCGTGCTGTCGCTGGCCCCCGGCTCCCTTAGGCGCTGCTCCGGCTCCTTCTGGGAGGGGTGTCTCTCAGTGGGGAGGGGCTCCAGGTCACTGAAACAAGGAGAGGCAATAAGACACATGTAACTATATTCATAATAAAGATATATCTGGACATGTTGATATTTGTTTTACATGAAGAGGAGAGATACGTTTAACTATCATTGTTAAGATGATATGGTCTATATGAATTGTAGTGGACATTTCCACTCTATCCTGATATGTTTAAACCAAATGCTTCTCATGTGGTTAGATGTGCTGTTTTCCTCTATCCACTCTACTTCAAGGCCACAGAGCTGTTTTGGCTACTGGGTTGAGACTCACACAAAGTCACACGAGAACTTCTACAGCTCAAGGCCAGGTGTCTAATAACAATGTGACCGTGTGAAGACAGATTTCTTACCTTCCTCCCCCTTCTTGTATATAAGCTTTTTTACTCTATTGAACTGCGCACACTCGCGCAGATTATTCTATACTCTGTGGGACCTGTGTCTATATTTATTGTATTGTATATATATATATTTGAAGCTTCAAATAAATACCAGAAAGACAACTCTGTCTGATTCACCATTTATTTGATTTGATCACTCTGACTTGTACTCTACAGTATTAGGGTTTTTAGATTTCCATAACAGAATGCACCTGCCTATTGCCTGAACAAGTTAGATGCCGCCTATCACAGCGCACTGAGATTTGTCACAAATTGTAAAACACTTACTCATCACTGTACCCTGTATGCAAGGCAGGTCTGCCATCACTTACTGTAAAGAGGCTCAGTCATTGGTACACGTTTATTTATAAAGCTTTGTTGGGTAAACTCCCGTATTATATCTGCTCTCTGATAACACAGAGAGTTGCAAGCAGCTATTGTCTGAGATCACATGATGTAGTATTGTTAGATGTGCCAAGAGCAAGGACTGTCTTAGGTAAGACAGCTTTTATGTGCGCAGCTCCACTTGCTTGGAACAGTCTACAGCTAAAATTGAAACTGAGCAATTGTATTCCTCTGAATGTTTTTAAAGCAAGTGCTCTTCCTCCCGGGAAAAGATTGTCCAACTCTTGACCTGACAATCAACATCGGCACCTCAGTTGTTTCCACGACTCAGACTGCAAGGAATCTGGGTGTGACCCTAGATAACAACCTGTCCTTCACTGCAAACATCGCTGCTACAACCCGTTGCTGCAGATACACGCTTTACAACATCAGGAAGATACGTCCCCAGCTGACTCAGAAAGCGACTCAGGTTCTGGTCCAGGCTCTCGTCATCTCACGCCTAGACTACTGCAACTCCCTCCTGGCTGGTCTACCTGCATGTGCCATCCGACCTCTGCAGCTCATCCAGAATGCAGCGGCTCGTCTGGTCTTCAACCTTCCTAAATTCTCCCACACCACTCCGCTCCTCCGCTCCCTTCACTGGCTTCCGGTAACTGCTAGAATCCACTTCAAGACACTGGTACTTGCTTACCGTGCTGCGAATGGATCTGGCCCTTCCTACATCCAGGACATGGTTAAACCGTACACCCCAGCGCGTGCACTACGCTCTGCATCAGCCAAACGACTCGCTGCACCCTCGCTGCGAGGGGGACCCAAGTTCCCATCAGCGAAAACACGTGGGTTTGCTATCCTGGCTCCAAGATGGTGGAATGAGCTCCCCATTGACATCAGGACGGCAGATAGCTTGCACATCTTCCGGCGCAGACTGATAACTCATCTCTTTCGACTCCACTTCGAGCGTTAGAACTATTAACAAAGCACTTTTATACTAATAAAGGACTGGCTTTTCTAAAGCCAGTTGAGTAGCACTTGAAATGTTTGGCTCTATGAAACCTGATGTACTTATATGATTCTGTTTTCTTCAAGGTTGTGTCTTCCTGGTCGAATGTACTTATTGTAAGTCGCTTTGGACAAAAGCGTCAGCTAAATGCAATGTAATGTAAAAAAATGTAATGTGTAAGTGAAATGCTCTTTGAAACTATGGGTATTTGTAAATGTCGATAACTATGTAAATGCACTTGTAAATATGTTGTATGATACCCTCTATTGTTTTATGTTGTTTTATGTTTCATGTGGAACCTAATTGCTGCAGGTCTCCCTTGAAAAAGAGATCTATGATCTCAAGGGACCAATCTGGATAAATAAAGGTTTGAAATGAAATAAATAAATATAAAAAAAGACTGTACTGTAAGTAATGTGAGAAAATAACCCTGATGTTCACATTCCCCCCCTAACATAGTCTAAAATGCTATCTATTGATATTTTCTTCCAATATCACTGCATGTATTTGACCCATAGAGCAAACATGAGAACAAGGCTCTATATAGAAAGCCTGATATAGAAGAATGTATATTTTAATGCTGTAATGGATGTTGGATTTTGGCTTTAATGGGTTTCAGAGATGACATTTGTATTCCTAAGGGTCCAAGTGTCTGTATTTCGCCAAGACAGTTAATTACAGACTATTATACTGTATGAGCTAATGTTGAACTTTCAAGATAAAAAAAACAACTCAAAACCTTGCCCAAATATATGCCATATGCATTGAAACAGCCCAAAATAAATATTAAATAAATAAAAAGATGTCCATAGTGAGGCACAAGGGTTAACTCTTCTACAGAAAAGCCTTTGTTACAATTTGGGACCTTGGAGTGTAAAATAATTGGGAATTTATCAGAGGGTCTAATGAGAGATGCTATTAGGTTGCATTATGGGAAATGTATAATCTAGCATTTGAGGAGCTTGACCCTGGGTGTTTCTCAATGTCGAGTATGCTTGCTTGGTAGCACATGTCTTCCGAGCATCTTGCTTCAGAAGCGAGGCAAGAATACTTCCTGGCATTCGGAAAACGAAGAGTGGAACAGGTGAGCAAGTGTGCGTCATATGAGAGGCCCCGCCTTACATTTTCTACCACAGATGTGGGGAAATTGGTCCGTGCGCAAAGCATTGTGGGGATTTTCAGACCGCGGAGTCTACACATGTGCAGCCTCGAAATGTCTCCAAACGAAGTACGCCGGGCTCGGTAGAATTCCAAGTATGCTGGACATTGGAACAGTCCTTCGGCGGCACTCGATGACGTAGTATGCTTGAAATAGTGGCTCTGAAGCAGCTTTACTCGAGATTGAGAAACACCCACAAACTGAGGATAAACTGTCTTGGAGCCACATAAATATTCACAAATGCATTATTAAAAGTGAGAACATTAAAAAATGCATGCCCTTCCTTGCTAAAAGCTTTATAATAAAAATGGACGTGGTTTGTTTTTGCAGAACAATACAATTAAAGCCAAATCATTTCAGTCTAATAACAGTTGCTGATGCACAATATGCTGGAAAAACATCTGCTCCAATTCTGCCTATTGTTATTTCAAAAATGGTCCAACTATATAAAATACATTAAAAATAATAATAACTGCACAGTTTACAGATACTTCAGGAAAACATATGTTACACGAGACAACATTTAAAACAATGCTTGACTAATTTAGTTATGACCAGAATTGGTTTCAGCCTAAACATGCATTAACAACGTTTTGAAATACAGAGAGCTGCCCTGATTTTCTTAGAACAGAATCATGCTTTACTGGTTTTGATTACGATGTATGCGCACATCTAGAGGTTTGGGGCATATACGTAGTCTTTCACTGTGAAAACGTTTGCGTAAAGGTTCAGCAAACCATTTGTGCAGGGCAGGAATGGTGACAAAAGACAGCAGAAGCTCAGCTGAACTGGTTAGATGAGCTCTTTTCAAAGTAATTATGGAAAATCAGTCATGCCGTGCCTGCAGCTCAGACTCTGACCAGAGCACGCACAGCCCAACACACTGGGCAGGACTCCAGCACTAGATAAGGCTTTAAAAGCATTTGCAGAACTCATGTCCCTACTGTATATGCACCAACTTTCCAAAGATAAGGATAACATTATGTTTTTGTTTCAACATTTTATAACGAGGGTTTCTAGATACGTGCGTTTAAACACAGCTATACCCTAGAAAGCAATAGTTGGACAATTGTATACTCAATACTGTTACTGGGTTAGTGTTAAGCTAAAACAACACAGCCGCTAGAGGCTAAAAAGATAATCAAACAAATATTTAGGTTTATTTAATTGTATGCACAAGTTTTTTTTCAAGTCAACACATGAACAAATAAGTGTTTCATGCTAAATACAAATATATATATTTCTAGGAAATCTCTAATGCTTATTGCAACTATGGCAAAGTGATGTCACCCCATCAAAAGGCCCTTCACTGGGGTTACACGTAGCAGGTTGTGCTTGTACATGCATACTTTGCATTTTCTGACAATGCAGACTGTTGAAAAATATGCCTTTCAACTGGGAGGAACCCACATTGAGTATAACAGATCAGACGTTTCCTTGTTACCATCCTGCATCAGTTAATGTCTGTGCAGAAATCATAACTGAGGCTTAATGAGGGTTCAAAGACTAGCACACAGAATCACATTCACTTGTGGCCCAACTATGTGTTCAGACGGCGAGAGAGAGAAAGAGGTGAAAGGATATGCGAGTGGAAAACTATATTCAAAGACACTCAAAAGATGCTAAATTTGAATTAAGGCATGTTATAAGGCAAAAAAGCTGAAGGACAAACTAAATCATATATCAAACTTCTGTCATGCAATAATAGTGTATTTGATTCTGCCTGTCCTGTAAAGTCTTTAGTGCTTTCGCCTTCGGTTTCATCTCTTCCGACTAGTGCCAACTTGACCTATGTGTGCAGTGACGTCTAGTATAGTCAGAATGTAGTCAAACTGATGTCAGACTTAAAGTGTTAGCATGGAGTCATTATACTGTGAGGCCTGCAAACACTGCTGTCCTTTCTTTTACACTCCCTGTTCAGCTTAGTTAGACCTAAGTAGTTTGTCACACACACACACACACACACACACACACACACACACACACACACACACACACACACACACACACACACACACACACACACACACACACACACACACACACACACACACACACACACACACACACACACACACACACACACACACAACACACACACACACACACACACACACACACACACACACACACACACACACACACACACACACACACACACACACACACACACAGCAGCAATGTCCTTCAATCTTAACACTTATATTGTTATCATTCGCATTTGTTGCTGAATACTGATTATTGTCTATCACATGACACAGCAGGGATAACAGCTGGGCCCGCTCATTGTCAATATCTGCTCCACATACAACACTCTTCCAGATAAATACCGAGCTGCTCAGACCCTAATGCCACCAGAACAAACCGCAAACAATAACTTCATACGGTTCCACTTATACCAGACTAGATTTGTCCTTTCATATACTACAACAACAACAACAACAACAACAACAACAACAACAACGAAACAATTTAAACCAAGAAAAGAAAAACTCAGACAAATGTGTGGGAGGAAACAACAGTGAATCCTCTGAAGTGGCTGCTTCCTAGTGCATAAAGAGGTGAACAATCACAACGTAGGAGGGTGAAGGCATACTTCATTAACCCTGCTGTAATTGCTGTTTCCTTTTTATTTCGGTATGTGGGGGGAAAATTAAACAGAAAATTGCCTGATGCAATCTGACAGTGTGAGCACTAGACAATGACAGCGATTATCACAAGGTTGCTGCATTTCTGTGAGAGTGGGAGAAAGACTTTCAGAATTAATTTGTTGGGAAAGTATACAGCATTCTTAAAGAATGCATGTAAGAGTCAGTGTTTATATTACTTCGAAAACAACTTTTCTGCTGTGGCTGACCAGTGTAAACGGCCCAAAACACTTACATTAGGATAAACACGATGCACTTTCAAAAACAATGAAAATATAAAAACACAAATGTCCCAAAACACATGCACACGAAGAGACATGTAGCGCCTTCACACCGCAGTACTTTTCCCCCTTTAGTTCCGATATAGTTCAGAAATGTCGCATTCACACCAAAAAGAGCCGGAACAAAAATGAGTTCATCAGAACCTTTATTAACCCCTTTTCCGTCCCTGCTAGAGAGCAGGTACTTTCATGGGAGAAAAAGGTTCCTATGTCTGATTGGCTGGGCGGAATGCAAACCACGCCCCGTAAAACTGAAGCCGCCATTTTATTATCCTTGCATTAGCATTATTAGCATTAGCATTAGCCCAGCGCACAAATGCAGAGAGACTAACTTATGGCAACACAAAATAAAACATGGGAGTGGTGGAGATGAGGAGGTGTCGGCGTTCTGGCGATTTACTCGGAAGGCTTCAGTAGAAGCTGCTGGGAGTCCCAGCAGCTTCTACTGAAGCCAGTCCCTAACTCCGGGGACTTCGGGTGGCAGTATACGCCGTGAAGTTGTTTGCGGCCTGCCAGTAAACCCAAAGCAGAAGAAGAAGTGATGTCAGCGGCTTCATTTGCCTAATCTTCCCCAGGAACTTATTCCGGTGTGAACGCAATCTGTACTTAGTTCATGAGAACTAAAGAGTTCTCATGTTCATGAGAACTAAAGAGTTCTCATGTTCATGAGAACTAAAGAGTTCTCATGAACTAAGTTCTGATGAACCTTTGTGGGAAAAGTACTGCGGTGTGAAAGTGCCTATGTTCACCAACTTGACAACACATGCGCAGAATTTAGAATACATTCACCAACTTAATGAAACACGCGCAGGGTTTACTAAAAGCGCTGCATAAACTAAACGTTGCAAGAAGCTCAAAACCAACAGAAATAGGGACACTAAAAAGTGATTCACACAGCTGGGACCGGAGAGCTTGTCAACATTCAGGGATTATAAGGTTGGCCAACTGTTGTTTAATAACAGTGTTTTGTTTGAAATGACTAAGTTAGCTATGTGAGCTATCTAGCTTAACGCAGATCTACAATGATACTGGAGGGTATCATACAATCACATTGTTAAAATAATCAAATTAAACGCACATTTTAGGTAAGTTTCAAGGGACAGTGACAGTTAGTGTTAGGTCCAACTTTATCGTCTCCTAACGTCAACAAGCGCTCCGGTCCCGGATGTGTGCATCACTTTTCAGTGTCCTCGTTTCCGCTGTATTTTGTGAGCCTCTTGCAGCGTTTTGTTTATGCATCACTTTTTAATAAATGCTGCGCATGTTTAGTTAAGTTGGTGAAGATGTTTTTTTTTTGCATTGTTTTTAAAAATGCAGCGTATTTCTCCTAATGGAAAAGGTTTTGAGTTTTGTAACGTGTTTGCACAGGTCGGCCACCATATATTTCAGTACATATTGAAGAACAACGTTTTCATACTCAGGCACAGCCTCTCTGATCTTGGGGTCGGTGATCTCCTTGCAGACGGCGACAGACTGCACTTCCTCCAGAGGACACATGATGCCGTACTCCTCGCACCCGTGGGCCTGAACCAGGGGATCCATCCGGTGGGGGTCGAACATGATGTTGTTGGGTGTCACCAGCAACACCCCGCTCACCGCACCCTGAGTCAACACAGGGAAAAAAGAGAGGGATGGGTGAGAACAAATGGGATCCATTATAACAGCTTAGAATGTCTATGTAGCACCAAAAGATGATCAAAAGCACCTCTGTCACATAAACCACTGAGAGGCAAATCAATTTGAGACCGCAGATGTCCTAAATCAAGTAGAAGGTATCGACTGCCAGCAGTGGACACTTCAGAGCTTTCGTTTGGTACCTAGGAGTGAATCAGCAGTTCAATACCATGGATCTGTGTGTGTGTCTGCGCACTCATGCACGTACACATGCAAAATCTGCAATCAAAATCAAACTTTATTCATAATGTCCAAAATATTTAATTTTATATTGGCTTAAAGTTGGGGTAGGTAATTTTGGAGAAACCAGCTCGAGTGCGCTAGAATTTGAAAATACACAGCCGGAAGAAATCTGCCACTTCCTTACAGAGCCCCTCCTCCAACACACACGAACGCGCACATGACCAATGAGGGCACGAGATAAGTTTGTGCACAGATGGAAGGCTGACAGGCAGGTAGGCCATCCAGTTACTTTAGCCGGGCCGGCTCAGATGATTGGTCGTGCTTTTTACAGTACTACGGCTTCCAGAGATGATATTATTTTATATATTTATTGTCAAAGCATTTAATGTATTCATTGCTATCGGGATGTTAAGAGCATTCCATTGAATATAACAAAAAGTGTTTCTGAAGTGAATTACCTACCCTACATTTAAAGTGGCTTCACAGCCTGTACAGCATTCAAGACCCTCTGACCCTTGCATTAGACAAAGATAAACTCCCCAAAAAAACAACCAAATCACATTCAAAACCAGATTGAAAAAAAAGCAGAAGTAACGAACAGATCTGAGAAAAACATTTAACTGTACTGAGGAGCATTTGAGATGCTGCATTTAGATAACTTGGTTAAAATCACTTTAAGGAGCCGCAGACTCCCTGGTTATGGGCCATCAGAACAACATTAAGTATACACAGCAGAATTAAACCGCCGTCAGCGGGAGAGATGCTTCTCTTCATGTGCCGCTCTACAGGGTCATTCATTTTGGCTCATCAGTGTTTGCTGGGCTCTAATTTTAACCTCCTACCAGATTTCCTAACAGAAACGCATCTTTTTTATGAGACATGTGATTTTAACACATTTTGTTGTATTGATTTTCTCTTCCGCTGCCTTGTTTGTGTCTGCCTCAGGTAGTGATTTCATATATTGCAGGGAGAAAACACATAATTAGCAACAAACACAACAAGATTATTATGTTTTCATGTTACAAAATCCTCTTAAAAAAAGGTTCATCTCAGGCAGCACAGTGTTCTGGATTCTCATCTGCTATAGTTGAGTACTCATGTATTATTGTGAGTGTCAATGGCTGAATCTCAATAGAAGCACTTGCTCTTCTAAGGTATTGATGGTTTTACAACACAGAAACACAAACACAAAGTTTTATTTATGGGGGCATTTCTTTTCTTTTCCTTTTAATTCCCAATCTATACAAAAGCCTTTTGAAATGTGAAGTGTGTCACGTCCCTGCAGCTGGCAGCTGTTCTGTATGATTATAGAAGTAGTTTGATACCAATACTACCACTTCTTTCCTTTTTTACTCCATCACTTTCAGCCAACATTTTTGCTCTCGTCTACAGCAGCTGTCTGTCACATGACCATCAGCAAATAGAAGGAACCTTACCAAGGGGCCATACTCATAACAGTTTGGATATTTTAAAAAGGGGCCCTATTTTGCTTTTTGGGGGGGTTTTCCTCTCCTGTAGTGTTCTATAGGTTTTCGTGCATTTAAAATGGTCTGCAAATGCTAACATCCCTGTGTTCCCTCCAGAGGGAGTTTCTCCCCCCCCCCTGCTCGAAACGCCTCAATTGGTCTCCGTATTCTTCCATAACATAGTGACATCACTATGTCACTGCGCTTCTATTGGCTAGCGCTCCAACACATTGTACGTGATAGAAATGTCCTGCCCCTTAGCCTAAGTGGTTGACCAATCACAGCTGAGCCAGCCAGCTAACCAATCAGAGCAGACTGAGCTCTGGTTTCAGACAGAGGGTGAAAAGAGGTGCTGCAGCACAGGCAGTATGAGAACAATAGAGCTTTTTGAACATTAAAGCTTGGAGACTTGTCACAGTAGAGACACACAATACAAATATTAAACCTGACAATGAGCATCATAGGGCCCCTTTAAGTTGGATCTCACCATTGCACCAGTGATGTACTTGCAGTTGATCTTGAGGAACTTCTCTGTGAGGGCCTCTTCCTCCTCGGAGGTGGATGACACCCCTCTGGACTGGCGAAGGGCGGAGAACACGGGAGGGTGAGCGGCATCTGGTCTGGGGGGGCCATCGGAATCCTTTGGGATGCAACGGGAGGGGGTGTGGACACCATTTGTTAGTTCATACTCTAACATTAACCATATTCTGTTCTTTAGGCTGAACAAGCTCTCCTTTCTCACAGCAAACCGAAAAGAGAACATTTGATAGTCTGGGGTTAAGTGATGAATCCACTTTATCCCAGTGCCTACACATCTATATGAATGCATCATGTCCAAATCTCTAAATAGCATTCAAGCAAACAGACTAAATAATAAGCACTGCGGAAACAACTAAGCTTGGTTCACTTGGTAATACACGCTGTAAGTCATTTGCGTCTCATTTCATCAAACTAATGCGTTTGAGCCTCCAAATGTAGTGTCTATATATAAACAGATATTTACTGCACAGCGGGACAATCGGATTAAAAGCAACCCGATGAATGTGCCTCCTGTGTGTCTGTGCTTCAAACGGGCAATTAGGTGAAAAACTTTCATATGAGACCGAAGATTTCATTTCATTTAACTTGATGCCTGGTTAGTGTTATTTGGACTCAATGTGCCCTAGAATCAGGGGAGGGGTTTGAAGCTGTTGAGCCAGACTGAGGCACATTTTTATGTTTAAACATTTAAGCCCTACTTTTCTCTAAGAACAAACTCCTCATGATAACTATTGTTACCATTGTTGATTCACTTTGATGCCAGAAACTGAAAATATTATTTAATATAAATATTAAAACATGAAATCATTTCAAATGATTGCTGCCATTTTAAAACTCTAAACAGCCTATTATAATAGACGGATTATGACACAGTGGGGCTGCTGCACACACATGTTTGTGGTCATTTTGTGCCTCAGAGTTATTTTATTGACTTTCTAACTCTAACAAGGGGTCCAGGGGTGGATTCATACAGTAATCCATCATTGAAACAAACAAGCTAACTATCTATCACCTTCTGAGGTTTGGGGTCGGTATTTAAGCAGAAGCAGTTTATACACTACAAGCATCTGTCTAAGTTTGTGTGAGTGAGTGCATTGGTGTATTCTTCATGCATATGGACACATCGACTAGGAGAATCCACAATAAAAATAGCCTTAAATAATAATAAAAAAACCTGTGTGTGCCTAAATATGCAAGCATTGTATACTTTTGCGTGCAGCAATTTTTTTTTAAACAAATATATATAAATGTTTTGACTGTAATGATGACAGCAACACTGTGAAATAATAATATTAAAAGATCATTTAAAATGTTATGCTGATATGAGAATGATTTTTATATTTTTGACATTGGAGAAAAAGGCTATCAAACATGTGGCTTTGCCCAGAAATTCTATATTATAGATGAAAATGTTTAACTTAAATATTATTTATGTTTCTCTTTTTCCTACAACTTTATTATTATCATTTATAATAATTATTGTATTTTATTAGATGTGTTTCTTGATTTTTAACAAATTCAATAATGTATATATGTAAATGTAGGTATGTAGATGTAAGGGTTTATGGAATTTATTAGTAATTCTGTACTTTGGATAAGTCTGTGTTTCGCCAAAAACATGGGGGGTGTGTGTTATAGTGCGTCTTTTGAACCGCATCTGTGCTTTATTGCATTTTATATCACTTTATATGCCATTAAAAAGAGTTTTTCCAAAAACAAACAATTAAATCCCAAATATTTCCTTTCACAATAACTCTTGTTTGCCTGCAATCTGCCAGATGCTCAGCGCCGAGAAGCAGCGCAAATGATGTCTCAACTATGTTGTTCTAATGCATGTTGACACACACCCTAAAAAGGCACTTTGTTACTGCTTCTTCATCTCAGCCATGGTAACAGAGCAAGCTGCCACAGATGGTGTGTCTGCTGGGCTGGAAACACAAGGGCTGGTGGGTTTGGTGTTTCTACTAGTGGCCTGTTGCCATGCAATATCTGAGACTGACTGAAGTGTGTCTTAATAACCATCCGCAGGGACAACTGTCTGACCGGGAGACATTTTGTGGGACAGAGCAGAATGCAGGATGGGCTTTCTGTGACACTGAACCACTGCTGGGGGAGTCAGGTCGGATGGAAATAAGTCACGGATGGAGGGAAAAAAGAGGGATGAAGAATGCATTGTAGAAACTGTAGCAGAAAGCAGTGCAAAGCTGTGGTGGAGAAATAAAAAGACAAGGAAATAAAGGGAGCTAAAGGCAATGAAAGAGAGTGATTGGAGTGAGGACAAAGAACAAAAGGGAAAAGGAGGACAGAGAGGAGTGTGTGGGAGTTATAATCGAGGGGGATTTGGACGGTGGAGAAGTGCAGTGAAGAGCTTAGAGAAGAGAGCCCGAGCCCACTTTCTGCTGCTCCTGACTCCCACCCCCACACTTCCCTCTCTCCGTCTCCCCGTGCGGTCCACAAACAGCCTGAGGCTACTGACCCGCACCAGCAGCCCAGACACAGCCAGGGAGGGCTGGGGGGGCCGGGCCAATCTGCTACAGCCAAAACAAGTCTCTACGTACAAGCCGAGGAGAAGGAGACCTAATGTCAAAGAGAGGAGCTAAAAGTAAAGTTTCAAGAACACCATTAAAACAAAAACAGAGCAGGATCCCTGATCTGAGGACCAGCTGTTATGAGGACAACTTTTTCTCTTTTAACCAGCTTGTCATCCACTTAAACTGAGCACACCTCACCTACACAACTGCACTTAATCGCTCCACTTCACAATGACTCATCCACGCACACCTTCCTGCTCCAAGGTTAAATATATGCAGCCTTTTCCACCTAGAAAGTTAACACTGACTAGAACACACCTGGGATACACAAGTAGTCCACATGTGCGGCAGACACCTGGGTTGAAATGAGCAGCTAGTGCATCAAAACATGTCCTCCCTCATAGAGATGCACAACAAACACATAATTATTTCTCATTAGATCTGGCACATGTCAGAAAGGGGTGTTATGGGTTGGCAACATAACAACATCCATCATAGACTCCACATAAAGCACTGTGGAGATGCGCTCACTGTCCATCAGCTGACAGCTGTTGCACACAAAGCGATGGGTTATGACTTATTTGGGTAAAATGCCAAATGTTGACTTGCAAAGCAAACACATAATAGTGTTGCAATGCACTTATGTTGCTGTGTGGGATGATGAGAGGAAATACTGGGAATAAAAGAGAGATTAAGTTGGTCTGTTTAATTGGCTGCCAATGGTGGCATATTGTCAAAAGCTGACAATCTGTCCTTTTATTCATCTTTTAATGTGAATTTTAGTTGGAAAATTCCTCATTTCCACCCGAGGTAGTATCCTTAGACAGAACCTGCAGAGTCATGGTACATCAGTGACTCATCACCTGATCCAAAGCCTCAATCATGTCTCACAAATCAAGCTGCCAACTCCTCTTCCCCATGACTACCTGCTCTGCCTTCTCCTTCCTGCTGCACGCTGATATTGGCTGCTTCTGCTGCTTTCTCCCCCAACAACCTCACCTCCAGCACCAACTATTGTAACTGCGAGCATGTTGGCATTCTGACATTAGCATTCAGCTCAAAGCAATGCTGGGCCTCAAAGGGTTGCTGTGCACTCAAACAGTGTAAGGTTGACTGACCAGATCCCCTACCAAACTTCAAATCCTGCATCTCCGAACACACGGGAACACTAGCCAGTGACCAGAGGAACTTCAGATCATACTGGGATTATACTGGTAAAGTATTTCTGGATTTAATACATTTAAAAGTACATTATTATTCCAAAACTTTATGGAGTGAACACTGCAATGCGTTTCAATCTGAATATTTCACTCTATTTGGTACAGCGGTGGATACTTAACGGATCAATAACGTTTTATTCTATGGAAGGGAAGACAGCATTACCCTGCCACAGCCAATGCTCATATTTCAAGTGAAGATTGCTTTCCCGGGGTGCTGCTTTCTTTGCCCTGAAGTCCTTTAATATATGACCAGTGTTTGTCCTGCACTGGCCTCCTTGAAATCCAATATTTTTCAGCTGCTGCTGGAGTTTGGTATTGTGAAGGATGATTCTAAACTTGCCCGTCTCTTTATTATGACCCATAATAACCTTCAGCTTTATGCAGACTTTTCATACAAATCTGTTAACCTGTACAGATATAAGGCAAGGTAAGGTACTGTAATTAAAGGTAAGGTAATGTGAGTCAAAGTAAAGGCAGTTAAAGTAAGGCAAAGTTCGGTACTGTGAGTGGAAGTTAAGAGGAGGTAAGATAATGTGAGTGGGAGGTAAGAGGAGGTAAGATAATGTGAGTGGGAGGTAAGATAATGTGAGTGGAAGTTAAGAGGAGGTAAGATAATGTGAGTGGAAGTTAAGGCAAAGTAAGGTAAGGCAAGGTAGGCTAAATTGAGTCAAAGTAACGGCGAGGCGAGGTATTATAAAATCAAGGTAAAGGCAAGGTTTGGTAATGTGAGTCAATGTAAGGCAAGGGGAGTCAAACTGGAGGAAAGGTTATATAGAGTCAAAGTGAGCTCAAGGTTAAGTAATGCGAGCAAAGTAAAGTAAAGACAAAGTAAGGTCATGTGAGTCAAAGTGAAGGTAAGGTGAGGTCGTAGAGAAGAAACAGTGTAGAGAACTAACACAACCTCAGGTAGACCTCATTGGAGGTAAGCCAAGACTTGGCAATGTCCTGAAGTGACCAGATTCCAGTCAGTCTTGGTAACGGGATTTATTTCAGCGTGTATTACATCAAAGGGAGGGAAAAGGCATAGTGAGTCTACACTGGCTAGAGAACTGAAATCCAAAGATGAAAGAGCTGCTGTGAGTAAATGCTGTGTGCGTGTGTTGGGTGTGTGTGTGGAGATTAGGAAGGAAGGTAGCATGGAAAATCGACAAACAGGAAAAGAGAAGCTGAGGTGAGGTGAGAAAAAGGAGAGGAGGGGAGCTGGGCAAAATAAGGTGTGACGGGGCCACCAGGAGCTGGCCAGTGGAGGTGGGCGGAGCACGGCATCAGTGATCTTCTCTACAGGAGGCTGTGGGGGGGGGGCTGACACTGATGCTGCAGACCGGAGACGAGCGAAACTGTGTTAGATG